AGCTATGCCCCCTGCTGGCCCCAGGGTGCTTACTAACATCATTTCACTTTAGAAACATACTGTATTAACAAAGGCTATAAGTGGCTGTGATTAAATTCGAATTGATAGAAAATAAAAGGAGTTCATTGGGCCGCAACAATGAAAATATCAGACAAGAAGCTGACTGCCAAGAATTCAAATGCTATCAGAATTTACTCTTTCCTGCTTTCTTTGGTTCCTCTTAAGTCAGCCATAATGTACCAAAGCAGCCTCTCTGGGTGCAACCTGTCTCCAACATTTGTAGGCTCACATCTCCACACTTGTTTCCAGAGAGAAAAAGGCTTGAATCTGAAAAACCTAGGGAAGGACTCTAGTCAGCTTGGTCTGGGCCACGACCCAACATTGCAATCAGAGGACAGGCTACAAGCAGTAGAGCCATTTCAAGAGTGAAGTCTTGTAAGTATACACCTACTCCTATTCAGAATATGTGTCTATAGCATGGACAGGAAAGGTGGTTCTCCTGAAGAAGTCCAGGATAGCTAAGACAAGACCACAGAGGACCATCCCTGCAACCTAGTGCCTTCTCCATTGAGACCACCATGTTAAGGGAGACTATGAATCTACTGCTTCTGCTGTACAAGGTCATCAGAGCCCTACACATCCAGGTTCCCTGGTGCTTTTCATTCATCCATCCAAAAAGCACTTAGTGGGCTGGGGCTGAGAAGCAAAGGAAAAACTCAACTCAGACGAGGAAAAATCGAATTGCATCCTTAGCCTGTAGAGAGCATGTGGTTCCCTCCTGAAGGGGAGAACCACCAACTCCCATGGAGTCCACAGCTCGCACACTGCACAAAGCCCAGAGGGCTCCTGTCCACCCCCACCCACCTGCAGGAAGAAAGCAAGTGAGCAGGAGGCTGCAGCACCCTGGGAATATGGGGGAAGGGGTGGGTCAGCAGGGCCTGTTTCTGGATGGCTGCCAGGATGGCCCAGTGGAGAGGTGTGGTCACATCCTCAAACAGTTAACTGCAGTTTCCTGTCTAGGCCTCCATCCCATCATCTGTTAAACGGGCATAATGAATGAGACCCTTTAGAGCAGGGACTGGCAAACTATGGCCTGCCAGGGGTGTACAACTCTGTGAGCTAAGAATGGGTCTTACATTTTTTATTTCCCACTTTTTTGTGTGTGCTGGGGATTGAACCCAGGGCCTTGTGCATGCAAGGCAAGCACTCTACCAACTGAGCTATATCCCCAGCCCTATTTCCCACTTTTATTGGTACCTTACAGTTGTCCATAATGGTGGGATTTACTGTTACATATTCATACATGCACACATTATGATGATGTAATTTGACCAATATCACTCCCCTGCACTTTCAGGGTTTCCATTTTTAAATGAAAGAAGATGGGACCTCCTACTGAAAGGAAAGTGACCACGACACTCAGAGCGACCAAGAGATCTTTTCGTGGTGGTGTCTGATCAACAGGAAAAACAGGAGAAGGGGGGGGGGGGAGGGGGGGGGGGGGGGAGGAAGAGAGAGGGGAGGGGGCTTGGCAGGAGAGAGTTTTTATAGCCAAAATCTAATGGGGTCTCTGGGTCTGCAGGCTGCCTTGTTGGCGCACAGTGATTGGATCACACAGTAGTTGCTAAGGGTGTCATCTTCTGCCTTCGGGTAGACTGGGCAGGGGCTAGATGTGGGTTTCGGTGGCACCAGACCGGTGGGGGTGGAGTGTTCAGCCCACTCTGCAGCTAACACCTACAATTTTGGAAGAAATAAATGAAACAATGTTTTAATGATAGAGAGTATGTGCTCATATTAAATTCTGCTTTATAAAATTATTTTATGGCACAAGAAAATAATATGAAATTCAAAAGTCAAAGTCCTTGTCTCATTGGAACACAGCTTCGCTTGTTCTTTCTTTGTACTCTACAGCTGCTTCCCTGCTTCAAGGGCAGAGTTGAGTGGCTGTGACAGAGACTATATGGCCCTAGAATTTTTTTAAAATACATGTACAAACTGGTGTTTTTCAGAAAGCATGCTGTCTCTGGGCTTGGAGTCCAGCAACAGCTTGACAAGCCAAGCCCAGGGTTGTAGCGCAGAGAGAGAGCACAGAGGCCCTGCCCCCCCCTGCAGCCCCCCCCCCCCCCCCCCCCCCCCCCCCCCCCCCGCAGCTGCACCCTCCCCTGCACCTTTCCGTTTCCCAGCATCATCCGCAGCTGCAAACCCTGCTCTGTGTCTGGGCTTCATTCTCCAAGACCTCCAGGGAAACACTTCTCGTTAAGATTCTGAAAGCAATCGAGTCTGACCGTCCACTAGGGTGGCGTGGGCATGCCGGAACAGCTGTTTCTGCAATGGCAATAGCTCTCATAATTAAAGAACGTAACTTTGACCCAACAATTATGCTTCTACGAACTTGGAGGGATATGAAAACATTTGTGAAATCATGTTTGTATAAAATTATTCCATGGTTACATTATTCTTCATTATAAAACACTGGAAAGAACCCAAATGTCTGTAACTTGAGGACTGGTTAAATAAATTATACAGGCAGCTATTAAGAAAATGGTGAGGGGCTGGGGGCATGGCTCAGTGGTAGATCTCTGACTGGCCTAGCATGCGCAAAGGTCATGGGTTCAACCCCAGCACCGTGAAAAGAAACAAACAGTGGTGGTGCTATTGATGTACTGCTATGAACAGATTGCCAAGAAAGAAAGACAATACTTATAGACCATAGCATGCTACCACTAGTGGGATAAAAAAGAGAAATATATTTACTTATTTATGTGAAAACTTCTGCAAAGATACATAGGAAACTGGCAACCTTAGTTGCTTACAGGGAGGGGGCATGGATGACGGGGGGGGGGGGCGGACAGGAGGGAGAAGGGGTACCACTGCATATGCCCTGTTGTACCATTTGAATTTTGAACCATATAAATATTATTTTTTATACTTTATTACCTATCCAAAAAAGGAAGAATGTGTAACAAGACAAAAATCTAAGAAGTGCCACTTGTGTGACATGGTGATACCTTGTCCTTCTCACATCTGCCCCTTCCTACTGGGCTTCCATCTTCCCCTGTACATAATGATCTTTTTTTTTTTTTTAGAGAGAGAGCGAGCGAGCAAGAGAGAGAATTTTGTTAATATTTATTTTTTAGTTCTCGGCAGACACAACATCTTTGTTGGTATGTGGTGCTGAGGATCGAACCCGGGCCGCACGCACGCAAGGCGGCGCGCTACCAGTTGAGCCACATCCCCAGCCCACATAATGATCTTTTAGTACAGAAAATAAATACAGAGCCAGGCACAGTGGTGCACATTTGTATTCCCAGCTGCTTGGGAGGCTGAGGTGGTAGAATCCATGAGCCCAGGAGTTCAAGACCAGCCTGGACAAGGTAGACCCCATCTCAACAACAAAAGTAAACATAAAAGTTATTGAAACACAAAATGTTTTAGAGACACTAGGAGTCTAAACATTTCCCCAACCTAGTTGTTTGTAAATTATAATAAAATACAAGACAACATACATACTGGTAACTTCTAAGCACTCTGGGTTAAATTTGCTGACACGCTGGCTCTAGCTGGAGAGTAGTCATCTGTTGACTTACAGAACACCCAGCTGAAGCAAGCACCCCAACGGCACCACTCCAGGCCTTATTTGCTTGTGTTGCTCCATCATCTAACAGAGAGCTTGCCCACGACTTGGGTTCAGCAAATAGTTCCAGAACCACAGAAGCTAGTCCTGGTCCTGGTGGAGAGCCCTCTGCAGCCCAGCACGCAGAGGGAGACAAGCCTGGGGGCATCTGCAGGGAGCGGAGTCCGTCACCTTCTCCTGCCAGCCTGCAGCCCACTCACTCTGCCCATGAGCCACTCACCTCACAACTGCCACTCACCCCACCTGCTATCAGAGTTGACCAGGACTGGGTGGCTGCACATCCAAGACCCAGGTGTCAGCAGGTTTCCTTCCTCCTGAGGTTTTTCCTGACAGCTGTCAGATAGCCTCCTCCTCACTGTTCTCAGGTGGCCCTTCCTTGGTGTATGTGCATCCCTGGTGTCTCTTCCTCCTCTGAGAAGGACACCAGGTCCACTCTACAGCCTCACTTTAACTTCATCACTTCTTTAAAGACCTTATCTCCAAATGGAGTTATGTTCTGAGGTGCTGAGGTTTGGGATTTTGATGACTTTGAGGGTGGGAAACACAAATTCAAGCCAACCAAACACCTAAGAAACGACTGGTTATATGTTCCTTCCCAACTCTACTCTTGGTCAATGGCACAGACTGTTTCTATACCCCCAAATTCATGTGGAAATCCTAATACTCAAAGTCCTGGTATTTGAAGGTAATTTGGCTAGACGACTATGTGATCCCCATAAGATGAGTGCTCTTATTAGAAGACAGGAAATACCAGTGCCCCCCTCACCTCCACCCACGAGGACACAGAGGGCGGCCTTCTGCTAGCCAAGAGCAGAGTCCTCATGAGGAGCCACCTGTTGGCATCTTGACCTTGGACCTGCAGCCACCAGAACTGTGAAGAACTTCCACTGGTGAAGCCACCTGGTTTTTGGCATTGTTACTGCAGCCCAAGCTGACTAATAAAGCGCACTAATTAGTTTTTTTGTTTGTTTGTTTAGTTTTTATAATCTACCGCTGACATTTTAAGATGAAGGCTAGAAACAAGGGACTTCCCACATATTTTGCCCTGCACATCTCTTCCAGAACAAAACCATATTTATTGACTCATCATTCCACTTCTGAGAATCTGTTTCAAAGAAATAAACTAAGCTGGGTGCAAAAGGTGTGCACCTGTAGAATTGCTTGAGCTCAGGAGTTCAAGACCAGCCTGGAAAAAAATAGTGAGACCTCTTCTGGGGAGGGGTGGGGGGAGAAACAAAGGAAAAAGAAAGATCCACAGAAAATAAGTATCATCACAGTATTACTTGTAATTTAAATTTTTTTTACAAAGCCCTAACTGTCCAGTAATAGAATGGTTAACAACATTCACTCAATAGAATGCCATGTAGCCATTTTACAAGATCATTAAACTTTTATTAAGTACCTGCTAAATGCCAGGCACTGTGCTAAACAAGACAGATACAGAGATAAGAAAAACAATGCTTGCTTTCAGAGAATTTACATTGTTATTCAAAACAAGAGAGAGAAACTCTCTGGAGAAACCTAAATATATCTGGGAATGAACAGGAATTATAATCTAGGATCTGTGCACAATGAGATCATAGGAATATCCAAGGAGGTGAGGGCAAGGCAGAGCTTATTAAAGCAGGAAGTTGACACCCACTGTCTGGAAACAAGTTTATCAGTCAGAAAGGCTCCCCACAGGGGCTGGTTATTAGTCACAGGCAATGCTAATGGTTTCTGGGAAGTTGTCTTCACAGAAGCAGCTCATCTGGAAATGTTTCATGCTGTCAGACAGTCCATGCACTAGTTCTTACCTCAGGTATATATGTAGAAAGATATCGCAATACTTCTTCTCTGTCACACATGCGTGAGATCCCCTCTCATGACCTCCTGGCTCCACTGTGGTTTGTAGTTTGGGTCTGATGTGACTCCACATTGTCTTCAAGAGCCTTCACATTATCCCCTTTTGATCAAGATCTGTACCCAAAAGCATCATCACCAATAGTTTAACTTGTGGTTAGGTTTAGATTGTCCCTCAGTGCTGAGATGGACCAGTCCCAGTTGGTCTGATATGAAGCTGGGGGAAATGACCAATAGTTATGTTGATGTCAAGACAAGTCGCTGTTAGCCAGTTTTGAATGACAAGGAGATTTAGAGGGAGTGGCTCTCCGGCTAAGTCTGCCTAGAATTTACTGATAGGTTTAACTTTGTTCCACAGGCACTGGCTGTCATCTCTCAGTGCTGGGCCAGCATTATTCTGTTAGAAGTTGTATTTCTACCAAAATTGACAGGCAACAGGTTTGTATTTCTACAGAAATCTGTCAGGAAGCAAAGTTTTTAAAATAATACAAAGTAATAATAATGATCCTATGATGATTCAGATTGCATAATAGTTTTTAGATCATGAACGCAAGCCTGAAGGTAACTGACTAAACGAATTGAATGATCTTAGAGAACTGGGAGAGACTTAGATATTAGGGGAAAGTAGAAGAATTTATCATCTATTCCAATCAGGTAGAAAATAACTCAAGATCAATGAACAAAGCTACAATCTAATGAAGTTTTCATTTGAAATATAATTTTTCTGTCTTCAGTTCCCCCATAAGTGACTCCATCTTGCTATCAGCAGCTTTCACAGCATTTTAGTAGAGACACAAAACATTTATCCAATCACTCAAACATTTTGTAAGCATCTACTATATGCCAGGCACTATTCTAGGCACTGAGCAGGAACAAAATAAAAACCTAATCACATGGAGCTGACTTTCATGGAGGAGGGTAGATAATAAATGATTTTAGGTCCAGTGGTCAGGGATGACATGTGAAAAACCACTTAAAGTGCCTAGGGAGCGAGCTGTGTAAACATATGGGGGTGGGGGCTTCTGGGTGGGCCCAGAGGCAGAAGCATGGCTGAGCATGGCCAGGTAAAGAGGATGATCCCTTCATCCTGATCACAAGAGGGCCCTGGCTGGGCAGCACAGACTAGAGAACTGCACAAGCTCTTGCTGTTGTGTGACATTGGATGCCGTGGGGAGGGTGGGTGGTAGCAGATGAGCTTGAGGGAGGCGGGCTGGTAGTTGAGGACTTAGGACATTATTCACACCATGGGGAGTCAACGAATATTCAAGCTGGCGGTAACACTGTCTCCTTTCATTCCAACCCATCATTCTGATAGATACATAAAGGAGGGAAGAGAGTGGGCAAATTTATGAGAAGCACTTAAACATGGAAGGTGGGATACTTAATTGCTTATATTTTATATGCGCATGTACAAAAACACGAGCAGAAAAGGCTAGAAGAAATGACATCAAAATTACAGTAGTGGGCTGGGGTCATGGCTCAGTGGCAGAGCGCTCGCCTAGCACTTGTAAGGCACTGGGTTTGATCCTTAACATCACATGAAAATGAAATAAAGACATGTGTGTCCAATAACACAAAAAAAAAAAAAAAAAAAAAAGAACAACAGGCACTCTGCTGGGCACAGTAGCACACACCTGTAATCCCAGCAGCGGGAGGCTAAGGCAGGATCTCAAGTTCAAAGCCAGCATCAGCAAAAGCAAGGTGCTAAGCAACTCAGTGAGACCCTGTCTCTAAATAAAATACATAATAGGGCTGGGGATGTGGCTCAGAGGTAGAGGGCCTCTGAGTTCAATCCCAAGTGGCCCCCACCAAAAAAAAAAAAAAAAAAGAGAGAGAGAGAGAACACTTTGTCTGAAACTTTATTTGGCAGTGCTTGGAACAGGTGAAGCAAACACCTTTCAAACACCATTAGGACCACTTTGTGGGCATGGACCTGTGCAGTAGCACAGCCCTCAATGAAGGGCCTACATTTGGCTTAGTTCTCTACCGTCACCATCTTGAAACTTGAAATCTTAAACTTGTATCTCTTCTCCAGATGTGCCTCTAGAACCTCACTTACCCCAGGCCAATGACCAGTCACACCTTAGAAATGATTTATGTGCCAAAGAAATGTGGGACCTTTACCTCTCTAGGGACAAAGTACCACAAACCAGGGAGCTTGCAACAATGGAAATGTATTCTCCCACAGTTCTGGATGCCAGAGGTCTGAAATCAAGGTGTCAACAGGGTCATGCCCTATGAAGGCTTGAGGAAACAATCTGTTCTGGTCATCCTCTTAGTTTCTGGACTGGCTGGCAATCACTGTCATTCTATGGCTGGTAGACACATCACTCAAACTCATTCCATTGTCACATGATTGCCCACGTGTCTGCATCTTCATGTTTTCTCTTCTTAGAGGGATACCAGTCTTACTGGATTAAGTCTCTTCCTACTCCAGTATAACTTCATCTTACTGAGACCTCAATTATATCCACAAAGACCTTATCTCCAACCTAAGTTACAATCAAGGTCCTGTACTAGGACAGAACATATCTTTCAGTGACATAATTCAACCCACAACAATGTGCCATCAACAATTGGAGCCAACCACTTGGGTGGAGATCATCAGGGAGGGGGTAACTATAAGGCTGGATAGGAGGAACTCTTGACATGACACCCCCCATGACTTAGGATTCTACATTCCAGCAAGGAGACCTGGGACCAGTCTTAATTATTTGCTGAAATGGCTCCTTAAAATTTGGCCATGAAGACAGCCTAAAGTAAATGGAATGGAAAGTTTAGAAAGGTATAGTAACAAGGAAGGAATCCAGAAGCTTTTGGGAGGAAGGTGTCTTATTCAGCCCTGGCTGCCATAGACTGCAGAGCCTAGACAATAGGAATTTACTTCCCACAGTTCTGGAAGCTAAAGGCTGAGATCACATTGCTACACAGTTGCGTCCTGCTGAGGCCTCTTCTTCTGTCTTGCAGACCTTCTCATCCTGTCCCCACCTGGCACAGTTCTGATCTCTTCCTATAAGGCCATTAATCCCACAGTGGGGACCCCATCCTTGTGATCTCATCTAAACCTAATCACCTCATCCAAAGGCCCCATCTCCAAAAACTACACTGGAAGTTTGGGCTTTTAACACATGAACTTGAAGACACAATTCAGTCCACAACAGAATGTTAGATGAATTTACTATGTGAGCCCAGAGAACCCACTACCTTTACTGTCTGAAGGTCCAGAGAACCCACCCTGCAGTCAGTAAGTATGCACTTAAGGCCAGCGAGGGTTATTGTTGTCTGCAGCCTGGAGCTGGTGGTAGGAGTTGCTGCCACAGAAATGAACTTCCTGGTGCCAAAAGAAACAATGGGATTCCAGATGGAAGAGGCAGAGTCAAACTCAAGAGCAGTCCTGGGTTGCAATTATTGGTAGCCCATGCTGACAGAACCCAATGCTGTTGCTGGTTCACTTTTATACATTTAGGCTCTTTGTCTAAAAATAAATCTTCTGACCTAGCATTATCAAGAATAAACGAGTGACAAACATTCAGCCACCTAGCTAGTAACCAATTCTTAAAAGGACACCTGACACACATGTATTTTTCCCAACTTAGGGACATGTCTCCCATGGGACACACTTAACATCCTGCATTAGTAACAGAGTCAAAATGAAATGGGTGCGTTTTTTTTCCCTTGCTTAGTGAAACAGAAAATAAAGGTGTGTCTTACAATTGATGGATTTTAGATTTGATGACATAGTAATGTATAAAAATTATTCAAGATGGGAAATGGTAAAGCTGTGCTAAACTTTGCATTTCAGGTCCACAGCATTATAATTGGGCATTGTGCCACATGTGGGTCCACTCATTCACCCCACAGACACAAGGCTTTCCATGCACAGACCCAGGGCTAAATGCTGAGGCCCCGCCCTCCAGGCCCACTTCCACTCTGCCTTCCTTTGGAACCCTGTCCTGGACTGTTGTCCATCTGGGACTTTTCTTCAGAACTTCAAAATAGAAGCACAGTTGAAAATAACTGTAATGCACCACTGCTCACCAGAACCCGAAGTCAAAAGAGTTACAACATCACAAATAAGAATGATGTCCAGCAGAGTCAGGAGGGGAGGGGCTTACAATCCCTCATACACGTCTTTACAGAGGTTTTAAAATTGTGGTAAATTTAGAACTCTCCAAAAACCCAACACCAGATGGAGACATGGAAGCCAGAGAGCAGTACAGGAGCTGCCACACTCGCCTGAGTGCAGCCTCTCAGAGTTCAACCACCTCTGCTCCCATGCACCCCAAAGTGAGTCCTCAGGAACACACATGCCTACATTCCAAGCACTGGGGATTAGGGGATAATCTGACAGCTGAGGCTCAGAATCCCAGGGGATCTTGGAATCCAGTTTGGGCTGAGATCTCCCATAGTTGGGGTGAACCTTATCAAAATGACAGGGCCCCAAACTGGCCAGCTATGCATAAGGTCCTACCTGAAAAGCCCATGTTGCTGGCCTAAATTGTTGAGATGGAGACTAACCAGGGATTCTTCAGCTGCTGCCAGACCACATACACTTTCCTCCTTCCAACTTTCAGTGCTTCTGCAACATTCACTATGCCCATGCCACATGCTGGCATTTATGCCCCCCTACCCCCAGTGCCACAGATGGGAGATATCCCTCCTAGTCCCAGCGAAGAACAAGGCCTTGGTTTTTGTATTCATCCCCAGTGAGGCACAGGTTGGAGCTTTGCCTGCCAGCTCCAGCAACAGCTTAAAGGCAAACTTTACACCAGCCAAACAGGACCTCATGGGGGCCAAAATGGCCACGTATGAGCTCTGAGCCAGAGAGCCCAGCCCTTCTGGGCCATCCTGGCCCATAAAGTTGCCTTTCCAGGTTGAAGGGAGCAGGAAGTTGGGAGCCACAGAAAACTCCCATGAATTTTACAATAACTCACCAAGGCTCTTGGTTCTGCACCTGATGGACGCTTGGACCCAGCTTATAAAGGGAGGCTAGGTCAGGCCTGGACACCACCTGAGGAAACACGTTAGAAACTGCCCAGTTAGTGTGCAGGGAAGCCTAGGGCTACACCAGGAGAGGGCAAGCCCACACTCCCCTACAAAGCACTGAGCACTACCTTGGAAGTAGGTCTTCCAATTTCACTCCCTTCCTGGAGAGGTCCAAGTAAGCCACTCCCTCCCCACCCAAACAGTCCCTCCCTACAGAGGGCCCTGCCTCCAGTCCCCCACATAGCCTCCTTGCAGCAAGAAGTCTTCTGGGCACTTTGTCTACTCAGTCCCTGGAAGAACAGCCCCCCGGCAAGTCCTACCGGGCAGCACCATACACTCCACAGAACCAACATGCTCCCCTTAAGAGCGGTAGCTTGGATCCAAGGGGCACTCAGGATCTCTGTGTCCTCAGTAGTCACCTTAGGGAGCTCTCTGGGTGCTACCCAGCATTCTCCATCTTCACACTAGAAAGAAAACTATGCAGGGACCCTCGCAAATCTTCCTGATCACTGCCACTCAGCTGACTGCCCCCAGGGTGCACCCTGTGGTCCCACTCAGTTCCAATATCCTCGGATCTGGGTGGAACAGAAGGGTCACTGGGGGACCTTCCCCATGGTGCACCTCTAAGGAGGCCTGTGGGTGGCTCAGGATTTGGAGAGCCTCTCTCCCAAGCTGTACAAGCAGAGGACGAATGGCTGGCATGGCTGCCCTGGTGGCGCATGAGCCATGAGCGACAGCTGAAGCTCTTGCCACACTGGCCACAGGTAAAGCGCTTCTCCTGTGAGTGGCCACGCAGGTGCTGCAGAAAGGTGGGCTTGTGTGCAAAGCACATGCCACACTGGGTGCACTGGAAGGCGTGCTCCCCGGAGTGCACGCTCTGGTGCACAGTCAGGTTGGCCAGGCGTGTGAATCGCTTGTCACACTGTGTACATGGGAAGGGCTTCTCACCCGTGTGTGTGCGACGATGCTCCACCAGTGTGGACAGACGGCCGAAACATCGACCACACTGCGTGCATGGGAACGGCCGCTCGCCGGTGTGTGTGCGACGGTGTTCCAGCAGCGTGGACAGGCGGCCAAAGCGCTTCTCGCACTCGGCGCACTCATATGGCTTCTCCCCAGTGTGCGTGCGGTAGTGTGTGGTGAGCGTCGACTGATGAACAAAGCTCTTGCCACACTGGGCACAGGTGTAGGCACGCTGGGCTGTGTGCGCACTGCTGTGGCTGGTGAAGGCAGCCTGCTGCGGCAGGCTCTTGGGACACGGCACACAGGTGAAGGGCTGGGGGTCGTGGTGTGAGCACGCCTGCTGTGCACTGCATGTCATGGGGCTGTTGCTGAAGTTCTGGGCATGCTCAGCACAGGGCCAGCACTGCTCTGGCACAGCCTGGCTCTGGGGACCTGGAGGGCAGGAGGTCATCTCTTTTTCCCTTGTGGCATGAGGCAGATCTCCACAAGTGCCCCCCTGCACGTCCTCCTTGCCAGGTCCCCCTTCAGCTGCCCAGGCTGGCTTCAGGACCTCGGACTCCCCATCCAGGCTGTTCTTCTCTTTGCTGGCTAGCCAGGTCTGTGCTAGGAAGGGACAGAGCAAGTGAGTCATCTCTGGAACCCTCGTCCTTTGCTCTCCTGTCCTCAGTAGCCCCCGGTTGCCTCCACTCTGGACCCAGCCAATCAGTACTCATGGGGGCCAAAGTGGCTACTTGTGAGCTCTGAGCCAGAGAGCCCAGCCCTTCTGGGCTGATCTCCCACCTGCCTTCTGCAGATTTCCCACACCAAGCTATTCTATCAAATGTCACCTGAATGCCCTGTTCATCCCAGCTCTGTTCCTCAAGGGTCCTCTCCACCTACAAGGCCTCTTTCTCTCACCACACTTCAAGCCTTCTCAGTCTGTGCTCGCCCAGGAGCCTCCCAAGACCAACGCAGTGATATTTTCCCCTGGAAGCACCTTGTCCATGCCACACATGGCCACAGGACGTCCTGTCTGCCACAGCTCAACTGCAGCACATCTTTGCCTGCACATTATTAAGCAGATGTACTTTTTCTTGGGAAAATTTCCATCATTTTCACAAAATCCCAAAGGGCTCTCTGGCTCTCTTCCTCTTCTTTCTTTATACTGTTTATCTGTATTAACCGTCTCTCTCCTCCTAATTGTTTAAGCTCCTTGTGGGGACAAGGGGAATCTACATCTTATGCATTGATGAGTCCCTTTGGGCCTAGCACCACACTAGCTAGTTTGTAAAATGAAGTTAGAAAACATTTTCAGGAATAAAAGGAGAATGAGTTCATGCAACTCTACAAGACGACACCCCCAGCAAACAGATGAGGCCACAGAGATACAACACAATATGGCTGACTGACACTGCCTCCCCTTCAGGACACTCCTGCAGGAGAAGGCTCTGCTGGAGGTGCTTGGAGGCTCCCCTCAGGACCCACGGTCCAAGACCCAAGGATGCAGCCTGCAGCCCTGCCCTCTAAGCCTTACCTGAGCACGGGAGTGCAGGGTGTGCAGTGGTCGTCTCCTGCAGGTTCCTCCCACATTCTTCTTCCTCTTGCTTGATCCAGGGCAGACTGCCTGGGGGAGATCCCAGCTGTTCTGTTTCTAAGGGAGAGGGAATAAGGTCCTGAGGGCATCAGAGGTCATGGGGCTTCTCTCCTTTCACAGTCACAGTCTGGGACCAGCCATCAGCAGGCACTACCAGCAGAACTACAGGTCCCAGTAAGAGCAGAGCAGACACAGGATTTCTAGGAACGCTAACAAGTACTATAGCAGGGAGTCGGGAGAACTGGGGTTGCATGGCCTGTGAGTGACTGGCTAAAGGCTGTGACCAGGTGGCCAGCAGCCTTCCACCACCACCTGCCTTCCACCTGTAGTAACAGAGTGCCTGGTGTTTGGCTGGGCCCATGGAACAGCAGAATAAAGACCATATTTCTGGGCCTTCCCTGCCAGCAGACAACAAATGGGACGAGAGGGACTCTGCTCCTCTAGTTACATGAACTCTGACAACTTTATCTAAACAGGAGGAACCAAGGCTGTGACATTTTTAAATGTGCTACTTTTAAACAGAGAGAGCATCCCCTTCCCCTCTTGCTGCTGCTTCACCCATTTTTTCCCATTGTCCCAGACATGAAACACTTAAATTGGGAAACAAATACACCACTTACAGTAACATCAAAATACTTATTATTTTTGCAGAACTGAAAACTTGTGAATTTAATGGGTTAATGGCTGAGACATGGCAGTGAGCCCTGGGGACAAGACCCACCCTAGGAAAGGTGGAGCAACAAGCTGGAAGGAACTTGGGCCTGTGACTCTGACCTGTCAGGAGCTAGAAACCAATCACTATCTTATTTAAGCTAGGATCTCATTGTTTAGGTTCAGTTTTTTTCCGGTCTCCATTTTAGAAGCCTTCAAAACACAATGTCCTTCAGGGGCCAAGAGAGCTCACCAATCTCTAAGGCCTGCCTTAAAAATAGAATAATTACTGCTCCTTCTTCCTACTCTGAGTTTGATATGGGTTAAACATAATTTTTTTTTAAATAAATGAATGAGTGGGTAACATTACAAGCCACCAACATCCACATCACTCAGTTATGTGCCAGGTTTTATATTCAGGGGCACACATGGTCCCTTTCTGTTGTACTGAGGCACCTCTGATCCAATCACCTGAGAAGATGCCAGCCCAGCCACACATGCCTAACTGCCACATGCCAAGCTGGCCCCACAATTAACAAGGGCCCTAGAAACCATGTTCCTAGCAGGTTCCCAGCAGCCCAGTCTTCAGAGAAGGAAGCGGATCAAATGTATCAACACAAAAAGATCCTTAACATAAACCGTTGAATGAAAACAGCATAGTATATCTGTTTTAAAACCCTATATTTTTCTACATTACATGTATATATGTAAGAGCATAAAAAAAAAAAAAAAAGCCTAAAAGGTCTTATACCAAAATGATCACGGTGGCTATCAGGATCAGGCAGGTGGCCCTTCCACTTCGCAGGCAATCTCTGCACTGCTTAGTGAGAATGTATTCCTGTAAGAATGCATATGCACTATTCCTGTAAGAATTCATCTGCATCATGAAAACATAAACACTCTCAAAGGTTAGAGGCTGGCCAGTTTCTGATGAGGGGATCTCTGCAGCCTGCTTCTCAAAATTCTGACTGCATCCATATCACCTGAGGAACAGGTTGAAACTGCGGTGACCAGATCTAGAGGATTCTGTTCACATCTTTCCCGGAATTCTGATAGAAGGAGCCCGTGTGTGTAAAATTCTAGAAAATAAAGCAGACTCACACCCACATAACCTAGGCCCACAGCTCCTAGGAACAAGCCCCTGGAGGAAGCAAAGCTCTTTCCAGATGAAAGTAGAAAAGCTTAGAGAGTGGAGTGCAAGAAAGTGCTAATGCTAAGACAGCAGTGACCCAGGACACTGAGGACACCTTCTTTCATTTCCTGATGCTTACTCTAACTTCATTCCAGAGCAAGCCCCAGCTCCATGGGGGAGCTGTAGGCACCTCCAGGGGCACCTCTAGAGACATGTAGGCCAGGTCCAGCCCGCTCTGCATCTGCCTGGGAGCAGCACAGTCTCTGAATGAGCCCTGGTCCTGCCCACATCTGCAGAGGGTACCAAATCCCCTCCAGGTGGAGGGAGTGCCACCTGGATCTTGCAGTAGAGCCACTGCCCACTCAGCATTCACTCACAGCTCCCCAGCATGCCTGCCACATGGCCTGGCCCCTGACTTGGCTCACTCTCTCTGCAATGCCCCACTCCCTGCAGGGGTCCAAAAACACTTTTTAGCCTCAGGCCTACATGCCAGCCACTCAGTACCCATGTTGCCACCTTCCTTCCTTCTTCCTTGTTCTGGGGTGACTCTGTGACTTAATTTACCTACTCAGAGAGTCTGCTTCAAAACAAAGCCTTTTTCCCAAAATAAAGCACAAGATTCCAAAAGCAAGGAGTGGTTTCTAGGCGTGATCCTTTGTGTTTTGAGTGAACAGAGTTCCCATCCCAATGACCTGAGCAGTTTCCCTTTCCCCTGTTCTGTTTCTGAATGTCATTTGAAGAAAGGATTCCTCACCTTAAAAAAAAAAAAAAAAAAAGCAAGCAAGCTTTGAAATCTGCATTTGATCCACTACTATCTGAAAAATAAAGAAAACTGAGCTCCTTATCTTGCTCACTGTTCATTTGGTAATTACTCATTATTTATTATCTAAGTATATGCCAGGCACTATGTTAAGTGCCATAAGGGGACCTTATAGTAACACTCAGTCCTTTCCTGAGGACAGTGCTGCCTGGAGGAAGCTCAAGATGAAGCCTGCTCCTCAGCAGGGAGAGCAGGTGCCAAGGGCCATGGGGACAGATATGGCATCCAAGGTTTCAGAGAAGATCCTGCAGGCACTATAACAGCCTCCTGATTCTTGGGTTACTAGGTATATGCTCTGCCCTCAGCCTGTCCCCACAGCTCTCATAGAGTGGTTTCAGGCCATGGTGATGGCTCCAAGGGGACATTCAGGAGACATTTAATGCCTCCACATTTTCCAGGCATTACCAGGATCTGCCCGACGGTGGGCTGTGGCGTGCAGCAGCTCATTTCCCTGCTCTGCTTCTGTATTCAGGTGGGGATTACTGACACTTGTTCCAGGTAAAACCAGGTAGGCACAGGCCCGCACCCCGGGAACTCACCAGTGCCTGGGCTCTTGCTGCCCTCTGCACTGGGCAGGCTGTGGCTGCCCACCTCATCTCCCCTCTCCACTGGGGTCACGTGCTCTGGTTTGGTGTCTGTGGGGAGAAGAAGGTAGTGACAGGACTCTCCTCTGTGGGCTGAGAGCAAGACCCACTTACTCCCTCTTCAAGAAGTATATGGTGTGGGGTGTTGGGACACTGGATGGAGTGGGATGAGGCCTCCCAGCCAGAAGTGTGAGCAATAAGAACAGGAAGAAAGGCTTCTATTATGTCCCTCTCTCAGTCAGGAGAAGCACAAGGTCACCTGATCCAGCTACCTCATGTGACACTGTGGGAAACTGAGGTCCAGGATGGGGAGCCAGTTAAACATGGTAGTCAGCTGCTGCCTTTCTTCCACATGCTCACTCCTGCCCCCTTAGCCAAGCACCATCTCTCACTTAGCATTCCTGCAGTACACTGGCACCCTCTTCTAAAAAAGGAAGCTTTGTGCTAGGAAAGGGAAGCAAAGCATTCTTTCCTGGGTTTCAACCTCCCAAGAGGCAAGAGGGGACAAATAGCCAACTCTTCACTTGCCCAAAGCAATGAAGAATTGAGAATTCAGGTGTATAAGCAGGGTGGCAGGGGAGTAGGGGAGCCACAACCATCTAGGCCTAACCAAGTCTCTCCCAGGCCCCTATGCACACCGGCCTGGAGGACTCAAGGGTTAGGACTGGCCCTCATTTTCTGGACCCAGAACACCTCTTAAAGCATGCTGACAATTAATTCTGCATTCAGCAGGAGCTTTCTAAGAACTCCAGAGTTCAGAGCATAGTTCAGGGAGTCCTAGGGGAATAAACATAAGTAGGGAGGTCATAGTTCACTCCCCAGAAGTGAACTATGCCTGTAAGAGCAGCCTCTGAGTCACATGAAGGGCTGGTCAGTGAGGAGCAGATGCCAGTCCCTATTTTTCCTCCCTGAGGTCTTGGAAAAGCCATTCAACTTTGCTGTGTTTCACTGCATAAGACCCAAAAACGGGAAGCAAGGACACTACCTACCTGCGAAGGCAGAGGATGATCCCACCCTGGCCCCTCACCTGGAGAGCCCAGAGTCTTGCAGCTTTCCTTTGCCACTTGCTTGCAGAGCGCCTTCTTCCGCTCTTGTAAGCTACCCTTCTGCTGCTCTGAGAAACACATGGCCACCTCTTCAGTTGTCATGGGCACCTGGAAGTACAAGTCCCCCAGGCCCACAGTGAGTTACCACCACTTCAGGGAACAGCTACAACCAGCTGTAGTTTCCTCTCCCTTCTCCCCAACTAGAGGGCACAGCTGGTCAAATCACTAGGCAAATGCCAGCTCCTCTCCATCATATTTGCTTTGGACAATGGGCAGAACCGGTGGCTAAGGGACTCGGAGTCAGGGCTCTTAGGGTCTACTCCTCTTTTCTTTTCCTTTTTTGTTGGCTTGGTAGTTTTGTTTTTTTTTTAAATATATTATATATATTTTCAGAAGCAGCAGGTTTTTTTAATCAATCTAATTATTTTTTTATTTATATGACAGCAGAATGCATTACGATTCTTATTATACATATAGAGCAAAATTTTTCATATGTCTGGTTGTTCAACTCCTCTTTTCTAGGCACAAATGTATCTTATTCCATGTGGCTTTCATGGAAGGACTTTCGGTGACTTCCCCTACTTGGGCCAGTCTTACTCTCAGAGGTAATTCTGGGATAAGACAAGTCTTTCTTTTTTGGGGACGAGGGTTTGAACCCACGGGTGTTTAACCATTGAGCCACATCCCCAAACCCCCCCACCTTTTTAAAATCTTTTTTTGGTTGTTGATGGACTTTTATTTTATTCATTTATTTATATGCAGTGCTGAGAATCAAATCCAGTGCCTCACACATGCTAGGCAAGTGTCCTACCACAGCATGGTTCTACCACAACCACGGCACCCCCGACCCGGCCTTTTTTTTTATATATATAATTTTGAGATAGATAGGGCCTCACTAAATTGCTCAGGACTCAGTTAAGTTGCTGAGGCTGGCTTTGCACTTACTGTCCTCCTGCCAGAGCCTTCCAAGTCATTGGGATTGCAGGGGTGCACCACCACACCCAGCTAAGACATACAACTCTTACTGTACAACAAAATCCCTCCTAATAAACCCATTCCATCTGCCAACACAGACATCTTATTGGTGTCACAATTTCCTTCTGATGTTTTTAAGACCCTTAAAGTCCATGGTTGACTAGCATTAGGTGCCAAGAAATCAGGCTTCAGCAGTCAAGGGGCCCCTCTGCGCTTTGCCTGTGAGGACCCTACTGACTCAGTTCCTGTACCTTGGGTGCCTCCCCCTTGCTGCCAGGGGGCAGCTGCAGGATCCAAGAGCTCCCATTGCGCAGCAGGTTCTCCAGGTTCTCCAGCCGCCGCTGCAGCAGCCCGTACTCCTGCAGCAGGGTCCCCAGCACGGCCCACTTGCCCTCTAGTTGGTTGCTGAACTCCACAGTTGTCTTCTCATAGTCAGCCAGCTTCTTCTCAGCTATCCCTGTTCTCACTTCCAGGCCTTGAAGCTGGACAGCCTGGGATTCTATCTTCTTCTCCACAGCCTGAACAGCAGCCAGGATGGCCAGAAGGGAGATCTCTGCAGACTGAATCTGGGCCTCTCGCTGGAGGTTACTCCCCAGGTGCCAATCCTACAACCAGACACAAGAATGTGAGCCAGGTGCCAAAAGAGGAATCAATGCCATTCCCAGATACAAGAAATTTAAGGTTCTCTGGAATGGGGGAAACTTCTCCCAGGTGCCAGAAGCCCTTTCTGGTTAGACCACCAAACAGACCCAACCTGACAAATGGTCAAGTCAGCAGACATTAGAATCCACAGAGCCTTTGTGTGAAGAATCTTGAACCATAACTAGGAGCAATAGAAAATGAAATAGCAAGCAATATCATCACAAACAGTACAATGGATTCCAATACTAGTCCTTCTATGGAGTTTTATTAATTTAGCCAATTACTTAATTACTTTTTTTTTTTTTTCTACTGGGAATTGAACCCAGAGGGGCTTAACCACCGAGCCACATCCCAACCCCTTTTTATATTATTATTTAGGGGGCTGAAATCACTGCCTCACCTGCTCCTCAAATACACAACACCCTCACCTCCCATTACTATGCTCAGAGGTCAGGAAAGACTGTTGTTCTGACTTTGATAATCCTGAAGGCCTTTCCACCTGATATCTGCCGGTGTGTGATTTCCTACCCTACCTAGGAAACTGGGTGCTTGTAGCCCAGGCGCCTAGTAGACCAGACCAGCCCTCAAGGTAATTGTTACCACACTGGGAGGCCATACCCAGCTGCCAGGGATCAGGGACCAGAAAAAGACAAATGATAGCACCTTAGAGTAGTCAGAATAAGGAAATAGTCAAAAAAATAACCTGCCCACAGAAGGTGAACACTGTATCATGCATTACTAGAAATAACAAAATAAAAATCCCAGGAATGCCTTAGTGGGGGTAGGGGGCAGCTAAGGTATAATGGCAGCACTCCTGGAATGGAGCTCTACTAGACCCTGAACCAACTTCTAACCTATCATCGGAATCATGCACAACTGGAGGTGAATCCCTTCTCTAGGGTTCTATTTTCTCACTTTTAGGGACACCATAGCTCTGCTACCTCCTAAGGGGATGGTGTGGATGGAATGCACTAGAGTTATGGAAAAGCACTCAGGATGTATAACAACATATAGTATACTATTAAAAACAGGTCATGGACCAAGTCCTCTTCCCAAACACAACTCAGTAAAGTGTCCCACACGTACAAACTACTATTCACCAGGCATTTGTCCCTTCCTTCCACCTTTTACAGCACAAGGGGCCATCCCTTAGTCTGGCCCCTGACCCATACAACACAGTGTAGCCAGGAGAAGGCAGATCGTCTTCACAGATTTGGGGCAAACATCCTTATCTCTCTACAGTGCCCGGCCACAAATTTGACATTCAGGAATGTCAATAAAATTTCTGCAAAGCTATTGCTACCAGGAGATGTCCTCTATCTTCTGAGACACAAAAAAACACAACAGTTTATTCACACCAGTCACGGAGGGCCTAGGTCAAACCTGAGCCTAAAACACTAACCATGCATAATACATGCATAATGCAAATCTGTTCCCAGTAACTGTATTAGGGACTTCCCAGGGAATCTTGGAAAACAAGGGCAAGCTCCAGCAGGAATTATCCTGACTGGAGCTCAGGTCTGGAAGACCTTCATGGTACTCTCAAGGTAGGGATAAGATTGGCTCCCAGGAGGATGTGAGGGCCTGATGAGACAAATATACCCTCCCCAGATGGTGGCACTAGACCTGGTGAAGCCAGATTTACAGTTAGGTAGTTAGTGTAGTTAGGTAAATCAGGTCTAATATCCAATAAGATAAAGAAAATGGAGACCATTACCAGAATGGAATCCAGGAAAGCAGAGCAGCACTAGGGGAAATTGAAATATTAATGTCCCCAAGGCCTGGAACCCCATCCTAAAGAATTGTTAATGAAGCATCTCCCAGCAAACAGAGAGGTACTAATCAAAAACCACCCCAGGCCCTTCCAGCCTAGATTACTCCTTCAGCCCACCAAATCTCCCACCTGCATTCTATCATTGCAAGAAAAAGGGAAACAAAAGACATGAATGTGGGAAGACAGACTAAAAGAAGACGTTCGCTATAAAAAAGGGAAGACCTTCCCCCACTTCCACGGATTCCGCCTTTCGGGTCCCCTTCTTCCTCCGGGGAGAAGTCTTTTCTGCTGTCCTTTAGTAAAGCCTTCTGCTTTCCACTCTCCACTTTCCTCCGCGTGCTTCTCTGGTGCTATACTTCAGCATTGGGGAAGCAAGGACTTGTCACCAGTAAACAGCGGTAACACTAGCTTGGAAAAAAGATTAGATAATGGGGTGGAAAGTCCCTCAGAGATGGTCAATCGTGGTGGGGGTGGGGGGCTGGTCCCTAAAGGACACGTCCAGGAAAAGAAGCCTTGGAGAGCCTTGGGAGTGAGGACACCCACATTCCCTCCCCCCCACACCTGGTCCCACAGAGCCAGCGCACCGGACCTCAGGCATCTCGTGCTTAAATCCGAGTGCTCTATTCTTTACACGAGGAAACTGGGGTCAAGTAGAAGGGACTTTATCTGTGGCCCTACGCATCCTTCCCACTACGGAAGGTGGCAGGGCCGGAAGGACATCCTGACGAATTCAGGACTCGGCTCCAAGCCCCCACATCCACTTTGAGGGGCGTCCTTACCGGAGCCGCCTGGGCCATGGTCCTGCGCTGTATAGTCAGGCTCGGAAGTCACTGTCGCCCGCTGCGCGTGGCCCCACACAGGCCGGCCCGCCCGGTCCTCTCCGCTGGCGCGTGAGCTGGGCCCTGCCTTCGCCACACAGACCCGGCACCGCGGAGCCACAAACGTTCCTAGACGCAAGATAGAAAGCCAGGTCCGAGCAGGAGCGCCGCTTTCCAGGCACCCGGCCGCAGAGCCACAAGCTGGGTCCCGCCTCCACGCAGAGCTGGCTCCCCATTGGCCGACCTGAGAGGCTCCACCCCCAGCCTGCGTGCGTAAGGCCCCTGCGGCCCGGAGTCTGCGCCTCATTGGCTGGCCGGGAAGCTCGTCCCGCAGCCTGCGCCCCGGCCTTGCGCGCGAGGGCAGGTGTGAGTGTGGGGTGCAGGGGCTGCCCTTACCCGGGCCAGACAACCCACGGGCGTCGCCAGCTGTGACTGGCCAGTGCGTCCGCTCACTTCCTACAAAAAAGAAACCAGGTCACGTGCACAATCATTTATGCCAACATGTTTATTAAGCACCGATTAAACCAGGAGACTGCCACTTTCACAGTTGTTAAGGAATCTTAAGACCCAACCAGTTCTTTGTTTCACAAATGAGGACGCTGAGGCCCAGAGCTGGGTAAGTCTGGGACCCAACCAGGGCTCCCACCTCCCGATTGTGGGGCACCACTGGGCTACTGCACCTTGTAGCCTCCACTGTTCATTTCAACCTAAGGAACATTCTTTAAACACGTCCTATTGAGTGACAAGGCAAACCCACTATGCCTAGCCCAGAGCTGAGCACTGAATGCTTTGAAAATAAGGGAAAAACACCTGAGCCTTGCAATTGAATGCTTGTATTTACAGAGTGCATTTAGCATTTAAAATTTTAGAATTTAAAATTCTGAGCCCTGAGGCACCACCAGAATATCTGAGCCTAGCTCTTGTAGCTGAGGGTTAAGCTGAGCAGCCACACTTGTACCACATCCTGCCTGCGCACTTGCTGACATTTGTCTCTGACTTGTGGGGCTCCAGACAAGCAGGAGGCTCAAACAGGTGGTGCCTCTTCAGGATCTTGGCTAACCTGTCAGACTTTTATCCTTCCCCTTTCCCAGGGATGATGGCAATGTTACCATCTGCCCCCAACTCCATTCGAGACTTTGGAAAAGGGGTGAGGACAACAGGAAGTTGCCAGGAACCCAGAACCCACAGCCAATTGGTCTGTAGGCAGCACCCAAGGTGGTGTGATTAAGGAATATGAGAAACTAGGCATCAAGACTTCTCCGTGCAGCCTGACAATAGCATACTATCAAAAACAGGTCATGGACCAATGCTTTGGTACAAGGGCACTAACCCTCACTCTTCCCAGGGGATTCTGCCTGAGCAGGAAATCACTGGGAAAAAAAAAAAAAAAATAGGAAGCCCTGAACTTGAAACTAAGAATATCACCAAGCATCTTATTTGTGCAGTCTCTAAATTCAGTGCCAACAGCTCCTAGATGAGGTGGGATGCACTGGAGCTGTTACCCTTTGACAGACAAGGAATGTGAGCCTAGAGGGGGCTGAAGGATTCCCCAACCTCCTAGCCCTACTCAGCACCAGACCCCAAATTCTTTACCAGGAGAAACGAGGCCTGGAGAGTCCAGGCAGACTCCCCAGCCTCCCCCAGTCAGTCTTCCCCTTGAGGAAGGTCTTGGGCTCACAAGACTCTGCAGCACCCTCAAGGCATCTTCTGGGTCCAGTCAATGGATCATGCACACCTATGAATCCTGAGATCTGGCAGGGGAGGCCATCCACACCTGATTTCCTTTCCTCTTTTAACTGATATCAAAAGTAAATAACAGATGAGACTGCCCTGTGAGGGAAGGACTAGGAAGACTGGGAGTCACTCGGAGCTCAGAAACATACACCTGGAGAGAAGCTCTGCTTCTAAGACAGCAGCCAAATTCTGCCCATCAAAACCCTCTTCCTGCCCTGCCAGACCCACAAAGGAAGTGGCAGAATTCCTGCCCTCAGGAGCTCCTGGTCCTCTTTGCAACTACACACAACGCTTACAAACACATTACAAAGTCTTCATTCAAAGAAAAAAAAGTCTCAAGCTAACAAAAGTAGAAAATGCAAATTCTGAGTGCCTTCTCTTGTGTCCTGTACTCTCTGCTGTTTTCTCATGTGGAGCGCAGACAGACCTCTGTGCAGTCACTCCCAGTCCCTGAAGTCTCTATGGTCCATTCTGAAAGGACCACAGTCTCTGATCATCTTGACTGTAGCACCAGTCAAAAGCTACACCAAAAACTGGTGTTGTTTAAGCCTTCAGGGACCCTTTGCAGGTCAAGAATGTAGAAAAAGATAGCACAGAGTGACACCCTTAGGAAAGAGAAAGTAGAGGTACCTTGTCGCATATATATATGGTATCATCAAAAGGGCCACTGCTTTCCATTTGAATAAGGGAAACAATAAAAAAACAACTCTCTCCAAGACATCCCAGAATAAGGGACCAGCATCAGGCACAAGGGAAAGCCCCTAAGAGATAGAGCACAGGTCCTGCCAGGGATGCAGGAAGACAAGAGGATGCCCTGCAGGCTCCTGCCTGGTCAGCCCTCCTCTGCATGGCTGAGACCTTGCGGGGGTGAGCTCCCCTGGCCTGCAGAAGGCACAGGGAAATGCAGGCCCACCCGATGCCGGGCATGAGTCTGCATGTGCACAGCCAGGTGGTGGTTTCGGTTGAAGGCCCGGCCACACTGGGGGCACTGGTAGGGTCGCTCACCAGTGTGGATACGCTGGTGACGCAAGAGGTCCGAGGGCCGGCGGAAGGCCTTGCCACAGTAGGGACAGGCAGGCCAGCCCTGATTATTGCCTGTGTGCAGGCGCTGGTGAAGCAGCAGGCTCTTCCGCTGCTGGAAAAAGCGCAGGCATTCACTGCAGTGGTAAATCTTGGTGGCTGTGGGCCTCCGCCCCATGAAGGCACGCCCTCCCAGGGAATGGTGGCCCGCGGGCTCTTCGGGGAGCCAGCGGATGACAGGGCCAGGCACTACCACTTCCCCTGGCTCCAGCGTAGAGTGGCCTTCGCCCCATCTGGTGGGTGAGCCCCCGGGAGCTTCCCTGTGCTCCTCCTCCACGTGAGTCCTTTGATGGATTGTCAAATTAATCTTCAAGCGGAAGCTCTGCCCACAGTCAGGGCAGGGGAAGGTCCGTTCCCGCCGGCGAGGGAGTACGCGGGGTGTCTCCCCAATGGCCCCTGGTGGCCGAGGCTCCCCAGTGCGCACCCTTGGCCTCCCCTGGGCGTGATGCCGCCTAGGGCCTCCAGTCCTGTTCCTAGGCCCTCTAGGTGTTCTACACTTGGTCCGGCTTGGGGACCCCAGGCAGAGCTGCTCAGGCACCATCTCCTCCTCAGACTGAGCTTCTGTCTTGATGGCCATGCCACCACCACCTGGCAAAGGAATCTATGTTGGTTCCAAGTCCTACTCCCACCTCCCCTGAATCCTTTCTCCTCCAAGGGCCCACAACATGGGAAGGGGTCCTGCTCATGGGGCCTCACCAAGCAGGCACTGCCCTGTCCCATCATTCAGTCCTGTTTGCTATCTTACTCCTCACTCCTGGAGGCTGAGCTGGGGAACCAGGAGAGAGGAAAGTAAGCCACAAAAAAACAGCTGCCAGATAGTCCCTGGGGTCAGAAGACAGATGGTAGGAGACAGGTAGGTGGGAAGGTGCAAGAGAGATCCTGGGCCATGGCAGAGGAGTTGGCAGGACCCTAAGAGTTCTGAAGTCAGTAATTATGATCTGTAAAGCACAAGGAACCCGTGGGCCCCCATTACCTCAGGACGAGGTGAGAGACCCCCGCAGCCTGGAGGCGGCCAGTGAATTAAGCTCACACAATCCCTCATCCATATAACAAATGGGCCAATCCCTACTACCTGCCCACACCCTGCTTTCTGTGTGCAGAGAGCACCCTGCAAGGCAGCCTATGATTCCTGCCTGGGTCTCAGTGCAGGTATCCCCTGACTCAGGCAGGACTGAGTGAGGCCAGAGCCACCAGGATAACAGCAAAAAGCTTACTCTCGGGCTGGGGCTGGGGCTCAGTGGCAAAGCGCTTGCCTAGCATGTGTGAGGCACTGGATTTGATTCTCAGCATCACATATCTATAAATAAAATAAAGGCTGAAAGCCGGGGTCACTCCACAGGGTTGCTGTGAGGCTGGAATCAAAGCGGAACATCCTTTTGGTCACCCTTGACCACAGCCTGGTAGCCCGCAGCCTATTCCCAGCGGGGGATTCCCAGCCAGCCCAGACCAAGGGAGAAGACTAGGACCACAGGCTGACTGGGCCTGTGGGTCACACCTGGGGAGGGAAGGAGGAGGGAAGCCTCAGGACGAAGCCCTTCACCAGGTCTCATCCCCAGACCCCTGCTACTCCCAAAGGGCCCTCTGAGCTGTGTGAGGCTCTGCCTTGGTGACAGGTGCTGCCTATTTACTCACCTGGCCCCAGACTGGACATGATGTCCCTGGGAGGGGAAGCTGGTGACTCCCCCTCTGAAGATTCTCCCTCCTGTTTAATTGAGGACAAAATGCTGGTGTTTGCTGGAGGTCCTGCAAGACAGAGAATCCCATGGGGCTTTCCTGACATGGGGTTCTTGCAGAGTGGCATGACCACCTCTTCAGCAGGCTCTGGCCATACCCAAGGGCCTGCCAGGAACAGTGACCCCCAGGCCTCAGTCCAGTTGACTGCAGAGGTAAGAAGAGAGATATGAAGGCCACAACCATAATCTCCCCGCAAACTTAGGCTCACAATTTGTCCCTTTGCAACTGACTATCACCCTGATGGTCCTCAAAAGGAAAGAGGGTTTGGGGAGGCCTCAGAGCAGAGTCTCAGGTCTGCGATGGGCAGGGATACTGTCCTCCTCTGTCTGAGAAGGTCCCACCTGACTGATTCCATGAGCTGAATCCAAACTTATACACTGGCCAGGAAGGAGCACACAGGAAGGAAGGGATTTCACTTCTACCTGCAGAGGGTCACATTCAGTGGGGGAAATACAAAGAAACCACGGGGAAGAAGGCAACACACTGAAGCTGGGCCAGCTGCAAGAAGGAAGAATAGGGAGGAGGAGCCAGAGGAGCCAGTGTGCGCTGAGACAGAAAGCGACTCTCGGGATTAGAGGCCACATGCTCTGCTGAGTGTCCTCTGAGTTACAGTTCCAGCTCAGGATGGCAGGAACTGCCTGTGAACAGAAGCAAACAGAACTTGGGAGAGGTGACTAAAGCCAGTGTTCTCAGCAGGTCTTCAGAAAGAGGATGTTTACTGACACCTACAACATGCCTGCCACCCAGCACTGTGCTAGGCATGAGACATAAACTGCCTTGTTGATAGGACCACTGGAAGAAGCCCCAAGAGGCTCAATCCACATCCCTCCCCAAAAGCTCCATGCAGATATTTTCTTGCACCGAAAATCCAAAACCTACCTTCTTTTAGGGTCTACCTCAGAAGCCCCTTTCCCAGGAGCCCGTCCAGCTCAGCCCAGTCACATCCCCAGCTATCTTTCCTGCTGAACTTCTAGCACGGCTTGTGTTTGGTACTCATGCACTGCCAGAAGACACCATTCTTGTTGCTGTCCTGGCTGCCCTCACTCACCAGTGCCCAGCCTGGGTGGGGTCACTCCTGCTTCTTCATTCTGTTGGTGTTGAGGGGCCTGCCCTTCTTTGGGCTCCTCCTGGGCATGGCTGACTGGGCTGGGGGCTTGCTCTGGATATGGAAGGAGACCTAAGGAATGCAAACCAGTGACACTGAGCACAACATGGAGATCTCCCAAACAGATGGCCAGGGACCATCTGGGAAGTGTGTAAATGCAGAGTCCCAGAGACCTGGGACATCAGACCAAACACTGAGTGTGATGATGAGATGGCTTCACCTGTCATCCAGCCGCTAGATTCTCCTCTAGAGCCTCATGTCCAGGAGGACTGCATAGTGTGATAATTGACACAGGATTAGCAGCCAGGACATGACAGAGGGCTGCTGTTTAGGGTAGGGAGAGGAAACACAGTATTGTCTGTTCCACCAGCCATCATGGTGGCTGCTGGCCCCCACTCCAGCCCGCTCTCCACAGCATCAGAGAGCCCAAAGGCATGGCAGAAAATATACACCGCACATGTGGCCCTGAAGGTTCCCGAGTTTCCAAAGTGAAGTATTCCCTTTTGAGACAATGCTTCACCCTACACTTGTCCTCTTATTCAAGTCTACACAAAATGTCTGTCGAGGCTTGCCTCCCAGCAAGTCACAACAGCTCAGCCGTCACTGAAGTTGTCAAATCACAAGCCCCCAAATGAGCACATGTCACATGTGCCCCTCCCAGTAGAAATGGATCTCTACTTTTTTTTTTTTTTTTTAAGGAAAATACCCATGAAGAGAATGAAATGCATGATGAGTGAAAGGCTGACGGTGAAGGCTGATGAATCTACCATCCAACACAAGTTCAGCCGGAGGCCTACAGCACCAGGCCATGGGTGCTGAGTGCCGTGAGCAATCAGACAGCACAGATGTGCACAGGCAATCCAGAACCACGGGAAAGAGGCTCTACCTCCACACCCGGAACCCACAGTGGCTGTTCCGGAATTGCAGGATCCAGAGAACAAAGGTTCCTCAGAGACAAAAGCAACCCAAGCAGGGCCTGTCTGCTTGCCCTCCAATGGCATTCTTTTCAAAGGCAAATGGTTAACACCAACTGAGTGTAATCAGAGGGGAAAAAGAAGAATTCAGCTGGATTCGTAACTGGTAATGCTGCTACCAATTCCCCTCTTGAACAAGGGCACGACCTTGGATACCAATTGGTCACATTGTTCAGCAGACTTTATCCACAGAATAGTCATCAGCTTCCATAGAAAGCCTGACAAACGGGACAGTGAAATGTCAGTGGGTCATCCGAAACCTCATCTTTGGACCCTTCCTAGAACAAAGAGAAACCCAGTGCCCATCCTCGTAAACCAGCCAAAGCATCATGGACGTGAGGCTGTGCAAGATCAAGCCTCAAGAGTGAGAAAAAGAAAGGTCCAAATCAAAATATGAAATCCTGACAGTTCTCAAAAACCCCCAAGGATAGAAAGTGACTTAATGACAGTGGAAAGGAGAGCTAAATCCTGGTGCAGTCAGATTTGGGGATGCAGAGTGAACAAGAGAACAGCACTAAGCCGGGCGCAGTGGCACACACCTGCAATCCCAGCGGCTCAGGAGGCTGAGGCAGGAGGATGGCAAGTTCAAACCCAGCCTCAGCAAAAGCAAGGCCCTAAGCAACTCAGTGAGACCCAGTCTCTAAATAAAATACAAAGCAGGGCTGGGGATGTAGCTCAGTGGTCGAGTGCCCCTGAGCTCAATCCCTGGTACCAAAAAAAAAGAACAGCACCCTCAGAGCCAGAGCAGTGCTGCACACTGTGGTGCTCTAAGCAGAGGGGTGCCCAAGATGCACTCTGGTCATCAGAAGACCCATGTGTACCCTGGTCACCAGGCCCCTCCCCCACATTCCACTAAGTGAGGGAAGCAAAGAGAGGCCCCAAAGAGAGGTGGAGAGGCTATTATTTTGAAAGCACAGCAGGAGAGAGAGCTGCATCCTCTTCAAGATAACCTGGATTTTGCCAGTGACACTTCTGTCCCTGGTGCAGGCAGACCCTCAGCTCCTTAGGGACAGAAAAAACAGACCCAGAGAACGATAAAAATGATGTGCCTAGAGTTAAGTTTGGCAATGTACAAATCTTTTCTTTCTTTTTTAAATGGAAATGTTCTGAGCATGGAGACCCATATTAGAGGGCAAGAGGACACAAGTTTACTTTAATAATTTCCCTAAAAGAGGGCTTATTTATTTTGCAAACAAAAGCCTAAACATTAATAGTAATACTGGATACATTATTTTGAAATTATAGATACTACAGAATCTACTACAAAAATGTTGGGATCGGATATAAAAAGACTCAAATAAGTTATTATGCTAATAAAGGTGGGAATGTAACATTACAATGTAAAATTTTAAAAAAAGTGATATACAAGTTTATAAAATCAGAGATTAAATCTGAATCAGGAATGTCTATATGAACTCATTTCTTTTCAAAAATGCATATTTTTGCCAGGCATGGTGGCACCCACCTGTAATCCCAGCAGCTCGGGAGGCTGAGGCAGGAGGATCAAGAGTTCAAAGCCAGCCTCAGCAAAAGCAAGGTACTATGCAATTCAGTGAGACCCCGTCTCTAAACAGAATATAAAATAGGACTGGGGATGTAGCTCAGTGGTCAAGTGCCCCTGAGTTCAATCCCTAGTACCCCACCCCCAAATGCATATTTTCAGGGCTTCCAGATAGCTAAACACATGCAGGTCCCAGGATGGTGGCACAACAGAGAGGGAGTCAAAGCCCCGTGCCCTTCCCCCAGGTTTCACCCTTTGTCTCTCTTCACCTGTATCCTTTATAATAAACCAGTATGCAGGCAGCACATAGTCAGTGAATAAGGCAAAGTTCCAGCCCTCATGGAGACAGCAAATCAACTAGGTCTATCTAACATTCCAAGAGAAAAACATAAGACACGAACAAAAACAGCCACACAAATGGTTAACAGGGATATAAACAGAAAAAAACACCCAGAAGTAACACCTAAAATTCATAACTAGCACTCATCTAGGGTCTCTAAATACTATGCTTCACTAAAAACTTCTTGACGAGGGGCTGGGGTGGACATCAGTGGCAGAGCACTTGCACAGCACGTGGAGGCCCTGGGTTTCTTCCCCAGACAAAACAGAAAATCCTCGGAGAAACTGATTCCAGGCCCAGGGCAGGAAATACACAAAACAAATCTCGTGTATCTTAAGGTGTCAGAAACTCATCAAGGTCATGTTAAAATGACCTCTGGGCAAAGCTTGAAAACGATTCCACTTGCCAAAGATGGTACAATTTAAATATGAAAATAATGGCTACAAAGGACTGGCACAAACAAAATATTTAAAAATCTGAGAAGTCATAATACTTGAAAACAACACAAAACAAAAAGCCCAAGCCTTTGGCCGCCTTTGGAGGCTACAAAGACAGAAAAGTCATCATTCAAAAAACTGATGTAGGAAAGAGTGAAGCATCTATCCTGCCTCTTCTGTACTGTAGTTCAGGGTAACTAAAAGGATTGATTAGAGGAACTATTCATCACAAAAGAGCTTTAGCTTTTAAGAACAGAAGTAATGACACTTTCACTATTTTGCTACCCTTAATGAAATAATGAAGCCAGGCAGCAATCTCCATGGCTAATTAAAGTCACTGGTGAAAAGCTGTCAGGAACTTCATAACAGAAGCATGAAGCTGATGATCTCAATAAAAAAGACAACCAGACCCCAGCGCCTGCTGGCCCACAGGAGTAAGGGGCACACAGCAACACCTCTGAAGAAGTCTTGTCAAAAACACGGAACCTGAGTCTACATAAACTGCTAATCCACCTCCCAATCTGTAGGAAATGCAGGAAATAAGAGACCATGTTAATGACACCAAATCCAAAATGTGGGAAACAATAGCATTAAAAAGATGTAAAATAAGCCAGACACAGTGGTGCACACCTGTAATCCCAGCTGCTTGGGAGGGTTAGGCAAGAGGATAGTAAGTTTGAGGCCTGTGAGACCCTGTCTCAAAATTAAAACTTTTTAAAAGGGCTGGGGGTGTAACCCAGTGTAGAGAACTTGCCTAGTATATGCAAAGTCCTGGGATCGATCCACTGTAACATACACACACACACACACACACACACAGATAAATGACAATAAAATGACAAAAAATAAATGGCATGGGTGGTGTCTATCAGCTAATGAATGATTAAACAAAGTGTGGTATGTCCACAAAATGGAATATTATTCAGTCACAAGAGAAATGAAGCACTCACTCAGACTAAAACATGGATGAACTTTGAAAACATTATGCTCAGTGAAAGAAGACAGACACAAAGGGTCATATTATATGATTACATTTATGTGACACATCAGAATAGGCAAATTCCACAGAGGCAGAAGGCAGGCTAGTGGCTGAGAGGGTCTGGGCAGGGGGGAGGGCAGCAGGGAGTGACTACTAATGGGTACAGGTCTCTCTTTTTTTTTTTCAGATGTTGATGGACATTTATTTTATTCACTTATTTATACGCGGTCCTGAGAATCGAACCCAGTGCCTCACACATGCTAGGCAAGTGCTCTACTACTACGGAGCCACAACTCCAGCCCCAAGGGTCTCTTTTGATCGGACACAAAAGTTCTAAAGTTAGATTGTGGTGATGGCTGCACATCTCTTAATATACCAAGAACCACTGAACTGTACGCTTTAATAGAGAAATTCTATGGTGTATAAATTATATCTCAATGAAGCTGTTGAAAAGGGGGATGACTTTTTATAGATTTAAGAAACAGGCTGGGGATGTAGTTCAGTGGTAGAGCACTAGACTGCCATGCAAGAGGCCCTGGGTTTGATCTCCAGCACCAAGAAAAAAAAAAAAAGTCACTTATAAATCAAATGCAATGCATGGACTTTAGGTTATCATATTAGGGTCCAAACCCTACTGAAAACATTGTTGAGGGAAAGAGAACAAGGACCAATCATTAGTTGTCATTGTTTTTTTAGGGGAAGGGGTATAAAAATGGTATCATGGCTGTGTGTACAAAAAGGAAAGAGACAGATGAAGCAAATGTTGAAGAAACAAGATCATGTTAGGTCCCAGCAATAATTTGGAGGTTTACTGTCTTGTTCTCTCTGCTTTCATTTATTTGTTTTTTATATTCAAAAATGTTCCCCAGAGCTGGGGACATGACTCAGTGGTAGAGTGCTTGTCTGGCATGCACCAGGCCCCAGGTTCAATAACCAGCACTGCAAAAAAGGAAAGAAAAAAAGAGTCCCCCAGAGGATTCTGATAGGCAGTGTCACCTTTGGAGACTGGCTATAGGAGGATCCAGCCCCAGCCTCCTTCTCACAAAGGAACCCTAGTGCCACAGCAGCTTCCTGATGCAGGCTAAGCTGGGGAGCAGAAACGGGCAGGTGGACACAGACAGCACGGAAGACATCAAGAAGTGATGGCGATGTCACTGCACTGTCACATCAGTGATAATCAGCCCTATTTATCATGGAACAAGAACGTTCCCATGCTCTACATTTCCCTTTGTGACTACCCCTCCTACAGATCCGAAACCACAGGGCTCTAAAAAGAAGTCTTCCACCTGCCCCCACCTGGGGTGGCCTTGGAGAGCAGCCCACTCTGGGATAAGGGTCTGTGCTCCCTTCCCAGTTCTCAGATTATCTGGACACTTAGGAGGTGAGCCTGTGGTCCACTATGCCCCAGTCACTCCCTCTTGTACCCACTTACCAGTGTCCAGCCTCCTTGGACATGCGGCCTCTTCCTCAGTCCCCTTCTCCTTGCTTTGCTGGTCTTCAGGACAAGGCTCCTCTCCTCTCTCTATCCGGGTGAGGATGTCAGGTTTGGAGATGGCATAATCTGCATACAGAACAGGGACAGGATGGGGTAAAGATCTGGGTCCCATATACCCATGGAGAGGCTCTGATGTCCAAAGTAAAAGAAGCAAAGCAAAGACAGACTGCAAGAGCCCAACCTCGGACAAAGGCCCAGAGACCCCTACACATCCTTACCCAGGGAGACCAGTGTCTCATAGTTGCCCCTCATCACATGCTTGTAGAGCTCCTTCTGCCAGTCCTCCAGCTTGCCCCACTCAGGCTGGGAGAAGTAAACGGCCACATCATCAAAGGTCACTGGCACCTGGAACCACAAGTGTCACACTCGCTTACCCACACACTTACAGGCACATCCCAGGGGGCTCCCCACTCCAGGGCACCCAAAGGCTACCTTGGGGACCTCCCCCTTGCTGCCAGGGGGCAGCCGAAGGATCCAGAAGTTCCTGTTGCGCAGCAGGTTCTCCACGTTCTCCAGCCGCCGCTGCAGCAGCCCGTACTCCTGCAGCAGGGTCCCCAGCACGGCCCACTTGCCCTCCAGCTGGTTGCCGAACTCCACGGCCGTCTTCTCACAATCAGCCAGCTTCTTCTCTGCTGTCCCAGTGCGTCCCTCCAGAGTCAGCAAGCGGGCCAGGCAGGAATCCACCTTCTTCTCCAAGGCCTGAATGGCAGCCACCACTGTCCACAGCGTGATCTCTGTGGAGTAGAGGTATGAGTTCTTCTCAGCAGCTGGCTGGGGCGACGGAGGTGTTAGAGGTCTCTGGTCCTCCATTCGCTTGTCCTCCCCTGGAATCTGCTCAAAATAAGAGAAAAGAGAGATATTACCAAAATTATACAATCAAAATTTCCAACTCCAAACTCAGAATGACTCCTGCTCCAGTGCAGCCCCATCTGGGATCCTGCTGGCCAAAGAGCGGAAAAGTGGAGAAGATAGGAGGCCAGAACATCAAGCAGGAGTCCAGCTCTGGTAACTGGAGATGGTGGCTGCACCAGGGTGTTGGCAGGTGGTAAACAGGAGGAAAAACAGCCAAAGAAGGAAAGCATCGACAATCTCAGGTGACTCCCCAATCTCATTCCTGAGAATGAAGGGGCAAGGCTTATCACAGGGAGAAAGAACATGAGCCCTGCAAGGAGCTCCCAAGCCACACCCACACATTGGTTGACTTTAGGCATGGTTTTTAAAACACCTTCCAAAGAATTCATTTCCACATCTAGAAAATAGAATATCTAGAACAATAGTGTCTACATAATAGTATTTTGAAAAATGATGAGACAATCTTTTGTAAAAAAAACAATGTAATATATTTCACATAACAAATAATGGGGGCTGGGGTTGTGGCTCAGTGGTAGAGTGCTTGCCTAGCATGCACGAGGCCCTGGGTTCAATCCTCAACACCACATAAAAATAAATAAACAAACAAAATAAAGGTATTGTGTTAAAAAAAATAATGTGAGTCCTGTATTGATGGGGCTAAGACAACAACGGTGATAGCTACAGACTGAATATTTGGGTCTCCCCCAGATTTGCATGTTGAAGCACTAATCTCCAATATGATGGATGGCATTTGAAGGTGCAGCCTTTGGGAGGCACATGGTGGGTGGAATAGGACTGGTGCCCTGAAAGAAGAGACATGAAAGCAATGATATCTTTCTCCACGGTGTAAGACTATGATGAGAAGGCAGCCAACCGCAAACCAGGAAGAGTCCCCACCAGGAACCAAATCAGTGGCACTGTGATCTTGGACTACCAGCCTCCAGAACTGTGAGGAGGAAAATTTCTGCTGTTTAAGCCACCAGTCTATTATACTTTGTTATAGCAGCTGGCTAAGATGATGACGTTGACGAGGCCGTGCTCTGGCTCAGGGATACTCTAGGAAGTAGTCACATGGCCTTTTTTCCCTCCATCTTGCATTCCATCATTCTTCAGCAGCTTGGAAAAAAAGCCCTGCAGGCCTCAGCTTAGCTGGGAGTATGGTGTGCAAGTCCTCACTGAACATGTACAATGCCCCAATGCTGGTTTGCGTTGCTAAAACGCTTCTGGAAAGACAGGCTGACATCGTGGCAGTGTGTCCTTGCCCACTTCATGGTTACACCAACAGCTAGTCCCATTTGTTTGACTGCTGAAATTATCTCAAATCCATTCACTTTTCTCTTTGTCCACCACCATCGCCAAGCCCCGTCACCTTTCACCTGGGCCACTACAATTCCACCCACCTGGTTTCCCCACTTCAACCTTCTCCTCCATAATACACTTTCCACAGTGTAGTCAGTAATCTTTTGAAACACAAACTAGACTACTTCAGTCCTTGCTGAAAACTCTTCAGTAGCTCCCCAGCACACCTAGAAAAAAATGTGAACTTTTTCATATCCAGCCAGCCCCTCCAACCTGACATACTCCGTCATTTGCTACACTCCAGCCATATGACCTTCCATGGCTGGGATGCATCCAGCTCTCCTTCACCCTCTCCTGGGCTTTCCTATGCACCTCTCCAGGCCTGAGTCCCTTCACCTTTATAGTTTCCGCTTAAACACCATCTCACAGAGCCTTTCCCCAAGTGCTGCACTGACCAAAAGTCCCTGTCAGCCTCTTCCTTCACAGTGCTAATAATCTGAACTCACCACCAGGCTTATGGTTTTTCTCCCATGTGAACATAAGTCCCATGAGGGTGTGTGTCATTTACCACTGTGCTCCCAGCTTCATAAAGTGCCTCACCCACAGAAGATGTTTGATAACTATTTATTGAATAAATTAATTAATAATTAATGCATTCAGTAATAATGAGTGAACACCTATCATAGTAAAGGCAGGGTGCACAAAAAATTGATGTTTCTTCCTTCTCCAAGAGAAAAATTCTGTAGAGAAATGCAGTTGACTCTCTGTATCTGCAGGTTCCACATCCAAGGATTCTCCAAACCCAAGTAAAAACATTTGGAAAGAAAAAATTGGGTCTGAACTGAATGTGTACATTCAGTCATTATTCCCTAAACAAAAGAGCATAACAACTATATACACAGCATTCCCCTTGTATTAGGAATTATAGGCAATCTAGAGGTGATGTAGAGGATTGCTGTAGGTAATATGCAAATATTATTTCATTTCCTGGCTACCAAGATTTGAGACCTAACAATGTGACAGGATGGGCTGACAAAGTCCCTGAGCAAATCTGTCCTGTTGGGGAGCTTCTTGGCTCTCAGGTGCTGCAAGATGGCTGAGGGGAAGATGCAGATGAGTAGGAAAAGTCTGGAAGGTACTGAAGAAGGCTCCAGCGAGGTGGGGCTGATGACACCTGTACAGGTACAGAAAGGCCTCCTAGGGGTTTCCTAAGAACAGGGTCATAAACCTGCAGAATCCCCAGCCCTCTCTCACATTCAAAACTCAGCCACAGGGACAAAGTTCTCCTAAGAAGGACCCAAGAAAACATGGGTCTCAGAAACTTGGCTGAGATGTGTCAGTAGTAGATATAATAGTTAATAATAGTAGATAAACGTCCTTTACAAGCGTTTTTTCTACTATGTCAAAAATGCCCAAAGGATCATTTTCTCTGAATTGGCCATACTGCACATTTCAAACCAGCATTCTAAAACTGCAAAAACAATCCTTTCTTAAAAAGGAATGAAAACCTGTTGTAAACAGGGGCCAGTATCCTTCCGTAGGTAAAATCCAGTAGAATACTAGATATCCACAGTCCAGGCCTGGCCCAGGCTCAACACCCGCTGGGGAGGTGCGCAGCCTCGGCCGGCCAGTCTAGTCCCGGGCCTCAGCCACCCACCCTCCCTGCCCGATCGGGACGCGAGCCTCAAGAGAGACAATGGACAAGGACACAGCTACTCGGTTCACTCGCAAGATCCGTCGCCGTGTCGGGGCGGGACGCAGGCGCCCGGCCTCGCAGGGCCCCGGAGGGACAGGTCGCGGGCCGCGCGCCGTCGGGGCCCCGCGCGCCGGGCCTGGCGCTGGGCCGCGGGGTCGGTGGCCTGCAGGCGGCCGCGGGAGGCAACCGGCCGGGCCGGGCCAGGGCGCGGGCCAGAGGAGCCAGTGTCGCCCCGCGGCCGGGCGCGCCGAGTCCCTCGCGCTGGGCCACGCGGCCGCGGCGGCCCTTCTCGGGCGGCGTCCGCGAGCCGGGGCGCTTACCCGCGCGGGCGGCGCTTCGGCCATGGCGGCCTGCGTCCTTGTTAGGCTGCGATCCTCAGGCCTGGTGCGGGCGGCGGCGGAGGAGCGGGTGCCGCCCAGCCTCGGAGCTCCCGCCGGGCGGCCGCGAGCTGCGTCCCGAGCCACGTGCCCCGGGGGCCCTTTAAAAAAGAGCTGAGCCGGGCGGCAGCGCCCGAGGGCACGCACAGCGCCCCCTGCAGCCGGTAGGACCGCACGCCCCCCCGCGCCCCTCCGCGGGAGCCCGAGCGGCCGCCGCGCGCCCACCTGGGTCGGCGCCCGCCGAGGGAGCCCGTGGGAAAGTTCAGCCCTGGGACCCAGCACCTGAAGGGGCCGCGCCCGCGCTGCGCAGCGTTTTGAGACGCGCTGTTCCAGCGCCTCCAGCTGACGAGCGGGGCGTTAATTAGTGTGGGGAAAGTATGTTTTAAAACTCCTTTTATTTTGTTTTGCAGAACAAATGAATAGACCTAAGGAGAAATGTTTCATTCAATTTTAAAAAAAAGAAAGAAAAGCCTCTCCTCCGCCAAGTCCTGTTTCGTACGGTGTCACCTTTTCGGTATTTCTGTCACACATCCTGGGGCCTACTCTCTGGGCAGGCGTCGTGGCTGTGTGTCCGGAGCCCTCCGTCCACCCAGTGCGACCTGCCCATCGCTCGCACCCAGGGATCCCGCTAGCCTTGGCTCCAGGCCAGGATCACAGCCAGTTGACTTGTCTCCAGTTGCGACCCCGCTCCATCCTGAATGCTCTCTTTCTCTGTAAGGGGAGAGCCTTCCTCTGAACGCCAAGAATTCACACCCGCGCATAGAGTCACGTGTGCTGTGTGCAGCTCAGGTTTTTTTCTCCCTGCTTTTTCTGCATCTCCTATTCATCTTAGGGTCTTTTTCCAATAAGCCAGAAAATTCTTTATGCTAAATCGGAGGTTTTGTTTATTTGTATGTTTCGGTTTGTTTTTTGAGGGAGGCAGAGAATTATTTCACCCAATATTTTATTCTAATGTAAGTGTGGTCAATTAACATAGTAAGTACATAAAGAATCATCCTCTCTATGATGCGCCTCTAGAATTTGGGGATAGATTAGGAGTGTTACTTTAAGGTAACAAATCAACATTTAGCATTATTCATTTTGGAAATTCTTTTTTTTTCTTTCTTTCTTTTAGTTGTAGATGGGCACATATCTTTATTTTATTTGAAAGCAAATGAAAGAGAATAAAAAAGAAAGGGAGGGCTGGGGTTGTGGCTCAGTGGTAGAGGTCTTGCTTTGCACAGGTGAGGAGGCACTGGGTTCGATCCTCAGCACCACATATAAATAAATAGTTGTCCATCTACAAATATGGAAAGAAAGGGAGACAGAACTCATCGGAGCAACAAAAAACAGCGGAGGGGCACATTTTCAACAGGGAAAATGGCAACAGGCTATAACAAGGGTCTGAGTTTTACAGGATTTAGCAGGGCCAGGTCCTAGGAGGAGTTGGTCTGTTACTTTTGGTGGGTTTACTGTGTGGGGAGGGGATTTTGGTAGATAAGGGAGATTGTGACAGGTCAGATTGCAGAGCTCCCTTTTTCCGAGGGTTTTGTAAGTCTCCATTTCCTCCATTATTTATTTATTTTTCATATGGTGCTGAGGATCAAACCCAGTGCTTCACACATGCTAGGCAAGCACTCTACCACTGAGCTACAACCCCAGCCCCCATTTTGGAAATTCTTATAACACCATCTAAAAGACAAATTGTGAATGTGTGTTGAAGATATTAAGAACCTCACTAGGATCTCATCAAGGATCAGTGCAATATATTAAAGATTATAAAATGCTGGTAAGCTGGTAGCTTATCACATTATAAAATAATAATGTCCAATACAGAATATGGATTGGAGAGGAAGAAGATGTTAGTATTTAATGAGCTGTACTGAGGGAAGAGTGTTGTAATTTTAGCAGCTGGTCTTAGTGTTTTAGAAAGTTCCTCTAATCAGGGGTACTCAAATGTGAGTGGTTCATGTCTGCCCTGGGTGCTTGTTAAAACAGACTGCAGGGCACAGACCTGAGTATTTCTAGGTCTGAGGCTAGAGGGGGTGAGAGTGATGAGGATTTGATTTCTAGGAGATGGGTCAGGGGTCACAGTTTGTTGAGGAAGAGTGCCCTTTTTATCAGCTCCCAAAGCTACCTATCATTCCCATGCTGATTTTATAAATTTATTTATTTATTTATTTATTTTAAAGAGAGAGAGAGAGAATTTTTTTTTTTAATATTTATTTTTTAGTTTTCGGCGGACACAACATCTTTGTTTGTATGTGGTGCTGAGGATCGAACCCGGGCCGCATGCTTGCCAGGCAAGCGTGCTACCACTTGAGCCACATCCCCAGCCCAGAGAGAGAATTTTTTAATATTTATTTTTCAGTTCTTGGTGGACACAACATCTTTGTTTGTATGTGGTGCTGAGGATCGTACTGGGGCGGCACGCATGCTAGGCGAGCGCACTACCGCTTGAGTCACATCCCCAGCCCTATAAATTTATTTTTAAAAGAAACACTTTGTACCATAATATAGTTTCCCAAGCAGAACTCCCAGATATCAGCCCAGGTGTAGCCTTGATATAAATTAAATTACCTTTATTCTTAATTATTAATCTGTCTCTTATGGGGATGAATTTAAAAAAAAAAAAAAAAACAAGGAATGATAACAGGATGGTGACAAAGGACTTTGTAGCCTCCTCGGGGCCCTAACTCCTTGGGCATTTCTTTTTGATCTTTTGTGGCACTGGGGATTGAACTCAGAGCCCCACAAGGTAGCTTTTTTTTTTAAGAGAGAGAGAGAGAGAGAGAGAGAATTTTAATATTTATTTTTTAGTTTCCAGCAGACACATCTTTGTTTGTATGTGGTGCTGAGGATTGAACCCGGGCCGCACGCATGCCAGGCGAGCGTGCTACCGCTTGAGCCACATCCCCAGCCCCTTTTTTTCTTTTTAATCCATTTGCCAAGCCTGGGTACCTCTTGGGTGAACTGACAGCACTTGGCTTCCCCAAGTGGAGGCCAAGACCCAGAACCCTAGCACAGATGACTAACAGCAAGGTGCAGTCATCAGGGGTTGAGGGCCACCTAAGATCAACATGGGGTCAGGATGCTCAATGCTATTGTCCTACGAAGAGGTAGGGGCAGCTCAAGAAAGAATTCCCAAGGCCCTCCTCAACATACAGACCAGGTGTGTCACTGTAGTCACACAAAGAATGATAAGATGTTAGGAGGGAAAGCATTAGCAAAGGGAGACTGGAAGCATAAGCAAGTCCCCCTTCCTCCATCACACAACACTGCCGGCCTGTTCTGTGATGCCCACCATACTTGTTCATTCAACAAACATTTGGTGAACACCTCATGTGGGATCCATTAAGACATGGTCCCTACCTTCCAAAGAGTGACATCTGTTGATTTTACCTTAGTAACCTTGTCTCCTCCCTTCCCACTGCAGCTGCCTCCAATCCCTCACTGGTTCTTGCATAGTCTCCCTCAAAAACCTTCTAATATATTTCACTCCCCACTCCACTCCCCCCAAATAGCATGACATAACTCTTAAGTGTTTCCAAATCACAGCTGAATCAGGTCAGTCTTTTGCTCAGCGTTCCTCAGCTCCCCTTTATCAATAAAATCCAAACCCCTCAGCTGGACCCCAGCCCACTACTCCACTTCTCACACCCTGCCCTCCAGCCAACAGGAGGAACTGCTGTTTATACATCCATGTATACTTGCATCCTACTTTGGTCAAGTCTCTTCCATTTAGTATGCCCTTCTTCCTACTTTTAAAAGGCCATTTCAAAGGTCACCTCTCAAGGGCAGGGCCAGGAGGAACTGAGGGAAGTTGCATAATGGGTCCCTAAACACAGTTGCATAGGAGAAATAAGTTCTGTGTTCTACCGCACGGTGGGGTGACTGCTGTTCACAATATATTACCTGCTTTATAAAGAACTAGAACCAAAGAAACAATGGTGGAAGAGACAGAAATGCTAATTACCCTGTTTGATCATTACACATTACCTACACGTATTCTCCCCCAATGTCCCTAATTGTCCTGAATTCCTATAGCCTTTTTGCCTCATGTGACATATTCTCAACCTTGTATTAGCCTCCCTTAACAGTATTAAGCTCAAAAGCAAGACCTGATTTATTCTTTTCTCCCCTTTTAAAATACTGCAGATGGTACTCAGGAGTGCACAAATGCCAAGGCTGAATGAATGTCTGGCTGAGGAAAGGGCAGTGTAAAGGGGCAGCACAGGAAAAAAACACACCTGATTTTAACACAGCATGAACTCAACTAGGGCTCTGATGTTTTGTTCACCAATGTGACCTAAGTATTTAAAACTGCCTAGATAACAGGTGCCATACATATACACACACACTCTCTCTCTCTCTCTAATTTAAGAAATGGATAAGGAAGCATCCCCAGAAGGGGCTAATGTACAAACAGTAAAGACCAAATGGTGTTTAGTTCACAAAGGGCATCAAGAAGGGAGAAAGCAGGGCTTACTCAAGAAGATGGGAAGCCCAATGTGGCAGTAGCATACTGAGGGGAAGGGGAAGAACCACAGGGTGGGAAGGCTGTGGAAGCTGTGGATTCTATACTAAAACACCTGCTCTCTATCAGTAGCCGGTGAATGCCACTCCAGGGTTCTGAGGAAAGTCCATGTCCAGCTGTGCTTCAGAACAATAACTGGTAGCAGGAACATGTGAGGAGCAACCTGTTTGGTCACCAAGTAGCTCAGGTGAGGACCATTAGGACCTTAATTGTGGGAACAGGAAGGAGGATTAGTTAGGGATGCATGGCACTTGTCACCATGTTTCCAGGTCAGTGCTCCCTAAGCTTCAAATAATCCATTTCCTGTTTTTTTTCTCAGTTCCTCCCTAAGCAGGCTTTCATTGCAGGATAGTTGAAGCAGGCAAGAGGTTAATTTGTTGTCACTTAGGACAGTGCCTAGTGCAGTGTCACCTGGAGATCTTACTCAGGTCTGCATTTCCACCACGCTCCTAGGGGAGCCAGTACTGCTGGTGTGGAGACCACAGTTCTGGTAACAGGGCCTTAGAATCCAGTAAACATTGCATGGCACTGCACCTGGTCAAGTGTGTGGGCTCTGAAGCAAGATGGTCTGGACAGCCATCCCCACTGTCACATTACCTCACTCCTCAGGTCTCCTCCCACATCTCCTAAGTAAAACAGGGTGAAATCATCCCACTCCGGGCTGTATGAGAACTAGTTTTTATAAAATGAATTTACAAGAGTACCTCACACACAAGTGCATAATAAATGTTACAGGGGCCCCAACCCAACTGTTTGACACAATTATGTCCCTGCCTCAAGGGAGACCTGACTTTGCTTCTACTTTGCTTTTTCCCATTTCCAGGTAGGAGCCTGGCCAATTAAACCACTCAATAACTGGAAGGTAAGGACAATCAATGATGGGACAGAGTGGTTATCTATAATGTAAAGTTTTCTAACAGCTGCCTCGTACTACCTTGGCACCCACCAAACTTCACCTACCCATCTACCACCTCCCAAAAACCAACACCCAGATGGTCTCGAGCTCTCCACCACTTCATATGGGGTCCCTGGCTATTCTCATCCATACCCTCTTCTTGTTTGTCTAGATTTAAGTAAAAATGCAGGTTAACTGTGCCTTCAGTGCTGTCATTGCTCTAGGTGAGGCACCTCTGCACCCTTATGAAGCCAGAATTAGACAGGCAGTCAGCATAGACAGGTAAATTGAGTCAGGGAGGATCAAGAAGGCCAATTTTGAGTGAATCCTGTAAGCTGGAGACTGTCCCCTTAGGGATTGAAATGTTAATTCCTTCAGAGCCCTTCCTCCACCCTTACCAAGAACCTCTCACTGCTCCAACAGGTTGCCAAGGTAACCTGTCCCAGGAATTGCCTCTCCCTATAGGGAGCTTTAAGGCTGTTAATGGGTCCTTAGCTGCACCATTCAGCCCTTCCCCCCTTCAGCCCACCTGTTTTCCACCTTTTGGCCATCCCCCTGAGCATTCTTGGGCCTAGTCACATACCAAGGAGAAAGGGGAAGAAGGCAGGAGAACAAAGGAAGCCTAGGACAAACAAAAAGGGCAGAACACCTAGCTTCTTGGGATACCAGGAAACCAGCTATGGCCCCCTTCTCGGGTAGGGGGGGAGGGGAGTCTCTTACCCCTTTTTAAATAAACCCTGCTTTATATGCTTGCCTCTTGTGTGCTTCTCTAATATTCAAACTTCAACATTTGAGGGAAACAGCGGTATCACTTGGCCCCAGGAAAGTGTTTCAACAAACGCACAAAAATATCAGATGTGTTTTTTTTTTTTTTTTTATTCTAGGCAATTGTAAATCATCCAAGGGGATATTCACATATGACCCAGGAGCCCACTGCCATCCCTGTAAACAACAGTGGGGCAGGTCGTCTGTCAACACTCCTGAGACAAGCATCTGTGTGCTTTCTGCCAATCTCTGGGACAGAAGTGTAATTTGAACAACCTCAAGTAACGACTGGTGTAATAGGTACAAACTAAATAACCACTGGCACAAGCTGAACACTTCGAGAAACAGACTAGTCTTCCACTGGGAGGCTGCACAAACACAGCAGGGTTGGGGCTCAGAGGGAGAGGGGTATGGTAAAACACCAGCACTCCCAGGACCAGAACCCTACTGGCCACTCCTTCACAAGAATCCGGCAGGGGGCTTCAGAGGCTAATTTTCCTCTTGGTCCTTCTGAGACAATTAGCCCCATTTAAGAGTGTCAAGCACACCCACAAGAGGGAGCCCAGCACTGTGTCCCCTTTGTTCTTTGCCTTAAGTGTGGCCAGGCTAAAACAGCCCCATAAACTATCCCCTCTTAGAGGGTAGGCTGAGTCCCCACGTTGGGAACAACTTCTACAACTCCTGAAATTAAAACAAAAACAAAACCAACTGTTGGGCTGTATATAATTTTTAAACTAGAATCTAACTAGAATCTTTAAATCAACTAGAATCTAACTCCAAAAAAGGATCTTCAGAGCAGGATAAGCAGTTCATTTAAATTATTTCTTCTCTGTTATTAACAAAGAGACTACAAAAAAAAAAAGAGGAAGTGGAGAGTCACTCTTCCCAAAACTCCTCCTGTACCTGCCTGCCTGTAGCCCATGGGAAGACGTGCAATGCTGGGACTGGCCCTGGAACTGACCACCAATCCCTGTGGGGTCACCATGCCAACCCCAGCCCCCAAGTATCAGATGGATGGGAAAACCAGACTAGACTGGGCCAAAGAGACAGCACTCTCAGTGGCAGGGTCAAGATGATAAGAGAGGCTGGGCCCTAGATTCCTCTTCTTCCACAGGATTTTCAGGACAGCCTTTGGGTTCGGTCTGGCACTTGGTCAAGGGAAGGCAAATCAGAAGCAATGGCCCTCAGGAAGAAATTAGTCCCTGATAGCGCACAGTGTCTTTTCCGGGGGGACCAATGCCACCCCCCTCCGCCCCCGGACGGTGAGGGGTTGGCACCCTTAAAGAAGGCCATTGGGCCTTCCGGGGTCCAGGGTCAGTCCACCCCGCTCCCGCTGGTGGATCTTCTGGTGCTGTAGGAGGTGCTGCTTCTGGACAAAGCTCTTCTCACACTCAGGGCAGCTGTAGGGCCGCTCACCCGTGTGGATGCGCTGGTGCCGCACTAGGTCAGATGGGTGGCTGAAGCTCTTACCACAGTACCCACAGATGAGGGAACTCCGGCTTTTCCTCCAAGGGATGTGGCCAGGCAGGGCAACCAGGCTGTTGGGTGAGAACCTCTCCTGGACACGTGGGCTAGCACTAGGCCCCTCCTGAAGATGGCAGCGCTGGTGGGTGATGAGGTTCACCTTACAGCTGAAGCTCCTCTGGCACACTTCACACTGATGCAGCTTTGCCTTCTTGGCCTGTGGCTTCAGCCGTGGCCTGGGCCTAAGGCTCTCCTCTGGCTCTGTGGTGGGGAAAGACTCCCACCCTGAGTGGCTCTGCAGATGTGTGGCCAGTTGTTGCTTGTAGCGGAAACTGATCTCACACTCAGAACATTCATAGGAATTGGCAGTGTCCTTTTTTAGCTTCAGGTTCTGCCCACATTCCTGACCCAGCTGGACCTGCCTGTGGGATTTCTGCTTTGTGGAGCAGCCCAGAATTCTGCCACTGGTAGGGTCTGTACTCCCCTCAATGGGATCCTCAAGATTAGAGTCCCCAGGGCCTGTCTCCAGAAGAACAGACCCACCCTGGCCATCCCAGAGCTCAAAATGCTCTGAGCGGAGAAGAGCCTGCTCTTCAGTAGCACCTGAGAACGTGCCAGGGGGGCCTGCAGAGCCCTCTTGCTTGTACAGCACCTCCTGCTTGACCACAGCCCCGTCCACTGCAAAGAAAGAGGAACAACAAAAAGATCACATTCTAGCACCTTTGGTCTCTTCAGAGCCAAACAAGTATCTGAGAATTTCAGAAGGGCTCAAATCAAAGTCCCATGGGAACAAATGAATTAGGACAATCTGGAAAAAGATGTAACTAAGTTCCAAGAATTATTAAAAACTAAATCTATATTTCTGTATAGACAGGTAACTGGGAATCTGAATACATTATTCTCAAAAAAAAAAAAAAAAAACAATGTTATAAAAGGTAGCTCTCCAAACTTGTTTGCAAACTATTTAATCCCTGTGAAAAATGACAAAATACACTTCAACAAATATATTAATTTAGGAGAGTGTTGGAATAATAAATTTGAATAATTAAAGAAAAATACACTAGAGCTACAGCTTAAAAGTTGTGTCCAGCTCTCTCTTTTCTGCATATTCTGCCCAAACACCGTGCCCAAACATCCTACATTTCCTTGCCTCCTGATGCTCTGGCCCGCCTCTCTCCATCATGTTCTGATGATCTATTACATCCTCTATTCTGTAGAGCATTAAGAAATGTGGTATGTAGTCTTAAGGATCCACAGACTGGTAGGAGTAGACAGACATATGACTGGCAAAATGGTAGTCATAAAGGTATCTGGAACTAGCATATGCCAGATGAGGTTAATGATAGTCATCATTTGGCAGTTCAACAGTGGGAGAGCTCCCCATGAGCTGCAGAGACCTGCTTCAAGGGAGAGGGGGACAGGAGAAAATATTCTAGAGCCACTCACCAGGGTGGGCAGCATCAGGGCCTTCCTCCTCCAAGTCACCCAGCATTTCTGTACCCAAGTCTGCTTCTCCCTCTGGCTGGCCAAGGACCTCTAGGTTGGAAATGGCACAGTATGAGCCCAGAAGAGAGTAAAAGCTCACACAATGGTTAGTTGCTGATGAACACAGTTACTACTGGCAAGGAGCAAATATTAAAACTTCAAAAGATTCAAAGACTACTATTATTGTCACTCTCCCAAGTGCTCTGGGAAAATTAGACAATTCTGGCCATTGCTAAGCATTGATTCAGCTAGCTGCTGCCATTACTGCTCCTCTATAAGGGCCGCCGGTCTCAGGCACCAGGCTGCAAAGCCCCTGCAGTACACCCAGCAGACTACCACCACCCCACACGCATGGCTGAGGACTTGCCAAAGCCCCTTTCAGGGCATCTAATTTCATCCTTGCTGAGGGACTGCCAGGTGACAGACAAGGAGACAGCTCTGAAGAAAGCACATGACCCAGCTAAGGTCACATGGTCACTTCTCAGGCCCATTGCTACTTCCCTCTTCACTCACTCTGGTCCAGCCACACTGGTCATCCATTTCTCCGTGGGCCTACATTTTAAAGAGTTTGTTTACCAAACAAAATGTATTAGTTATGTAATAGGGAGTATGTGAGTTAAAATTTATACACATTAAGCAGCACTTCTAATCTACATGAAATACACATTTAGACCACAATGACTGGCTAACACTCCAGCCAAACTCCAAGAAAAAGGGTTTGGTCAATTTGTGCTGCATCCCTCATCCCAGGTAATGTAAGACTTCTAAACAAGTAGTCTTAACTATTAAAAGCAACATGAGAAACCCCAGCAATACTACCATGCATCAGTAAATCTTCTCAAGAAGTGGCTGTGTAACTGCAGAGAAGAAATACTAGAAGGCATAACTCTGAGACTTTTCCTAAGGTTTTGTAGGTGGGAGGACCTGGAGACTCCCACTTTTCCTGACACAGGCCAACAGGGGATCTCAAGTCAACCTGAGACACAGGTGTAGTCAGAGGCACAAGCCACTGGCCACGGTGTATAAGAGAATTCCAGGGGGAAACTGGAATCCTAGTACTGCTACTCACTCAGAGAGACCAGTGTTTCATAGTTGCTCTCCATGACGTTCCTGTAGAGCTCCTTCTGCCAGTCCTCCAGGTTCTCCCACTCCTGCTCAGAGAAACAGACGCCATCATTCTCAAGTGACCTGGACACCTAAAACCAAAAACGACACACAATGAGCACCTCGGAGTCATGAAGGCCAAGCCAGCAATTCAAAATCATGGCCAATAGAAGCTGAGCTCCCCTTCTTGCCTAACTTAGTGCTCTGTGGTTCTACCTTAGGGGCCTCCCCCTTGCTGCCAGGGGGCAGCCGCAAGACCCAGGAGCTCCTGTTGCGCAGCAGGTTCTCCACGTTCTCCAGCCGCCGCTGCAGTAGCCCGTACTCCTGCAGCAGGGTCCCCAGCACGGCCCACTTGCCCTCCAGCTGGTTGCCGAACTCCACGGCCGTCTTCTCATAGTCTGCCAACTTCTTTTCTGCTGTCCCAGTGCGTCCCTCCAGGCTCTGTAGCCGGGCAGCCTGGGACTCCATCTTCTTCTCCACAGACTGGATAGCAGCCACCACTGTCCAGAGTGAGATCTCTGTGGTCTGAAAATATGAGCTTTTTTCTGTTGCTTGTGAAGGAGGTGTCGAAGTTGTTAAAGGGGCAGAGCGCCGCTTTCGTCTATGCTGAAGGATCAATCAAAAAAGATACAGGGTCAGTCAGACAATGCTATTCCGAATATCAAGTAAAGAAAGCAATGTCAAAGTACAAAAGAACTCAGAGCTACCTAATTTCTTTCTTCTTCTTTTTCTTTCCCTCTTACTTTATCTTGTTACTGAAGATCGAACCCGGGGTACTTTACCAATAAGCTACATTCCCAGTCCTTTTCGAGACACTGTCTCACTAAGTTGCTGAAGATGCCTCAAATTTGTTATCCTTCTACCTCAGCCTCCGAAGCTGCTGGGATTAAAGGCCCATATTTGGCTTTTTTTTTTTAAAGTATGCACTTTTTAATTCTGATATTGAAAATGTGTATATTGTAATAACTTTGGAGAATACTGTAGAAAAGTTATGTAAACTGTCTGAACTTATGTAGATTATATATATGAGCTTTTTAATTTCTTTTTCAGTGAAATCAAAATCATATTGCACATATTTTGCTGCCTGCATTTCACACTTAGCATATTTTATGAGACTTTCCTGTACTGGAGTTCATTTTTTAAACAGTTTCTTTCTACTTTATGTTTTGAACTATATAATAAATGATGTCATTTATATCCACTTTGCCTCCACATTCCTACCTGACATCAATAGTTGATCAAGTCACTGCTGCTGCAAACCTTTCAATGGCTCCCCATGATAAGAGAAAATTCCTTAGCAGGACCTGCAAGACCTAACTCATTCCCTATTTATCCTAATAGTTGATACAGTGAATAACACAAATAAATCCTTAAAAAAAACATTTGCTGAAATGACTTGACTAAGCCTGCTGACATTTTCCTTATAATTCTCATTTTTATGATCTTATAATTCTCATTTTTTGGCTGAAGCTCAAAATTTCTAAAACCAACACTAGGGAAATCTTTCTGAAGCTGCTTTCTCACACACTGTCCTACTCCATTTTCATTTCAGTCCTAAACCCTCAAAGCTTGCTCCTCTTTCATGTGGCACTTTATTTAAGGCTGCTTATCCAACCCATTCTGGGGGAAATGAGACCAAGAGGAAATCTCTGAAAGAACTGCTGGGGGAAGGGGTCACAGTCTGGCCTCAAACTGTGGACAAAATGAAACTGACTGGCATAGAACTGAACATTTAAGTTTGATCAAGACCTATTTTAGCTATTCATCATAGAACACACAGACAAAAGCTTACATATTCCCCTAAAAAGACTTAATTCAATATAAATTATAAATTCATGTGAAACCAAACATTAAGTTGGAAAAATTAACCTCATCACATTTGTTTTGCTTTTGTAAGTCTCTGTGTCACTGGCTTTTTGGAAGCTCATCTTTCCTCCCTGGGGCCACTGAGTGCTTAGTGCTTGCTAAGCACTTCTTCCAGACAGGGTGGTAGGTCAGGGTCTAAGAAGAAGAATGAACCCTTCCTCTTCCGCATAATAATAAAGAGTTTCTTCTGGGGCTGGGGGTGTGGCTCAGGCGGTAGAGCGCTCCCTTGGCGTGCATGCGGCCTGGGTTCGATCCTCAGCACCACATACAAGTGGACATGTTGTGTCCGCCGAAAACTAGAAAATGAGTATTGAAGTTCTCTCTCTCAGAGTTTCTTCTTTTCTTCCGTTTTGAATTACCTAGCATAACTGAAAAATTTAAATGTCCATCACCTGACTCATGGATAAACAAACTATGGTCCACCCATTCATGTTATGGGTTGAACTGTCTGGTCAAAAAAAAGCTGGAGAGCTGGGGTTGGAGCTCTATGGTGGAATGCTTGCTTCCCATGTGGGAGGTACTGAGTTCATTCCTCAACACCACATAAAATAAAAGTATTGTGTCCATCTACAACTAAAAATAATTTTTAAAAAATTAAAAAGATGCTGTAACCTGAACATCAGAATTTGACCTTGTTTGATAAAAGGGTCTTTCTGGAGGTAATCAAGTTATGATTATATCATTATGGTGGGACTTATCCAAAGGACCAGTGTCCTTATAAATCAGGGGAAATCTGGACAGAGACACAGAGACGGACAATGATATGAAGATACACACAGGAAGATGACCTGGAAGAGATGTCTGGGGTCACCAGAAACTAGGAGAGGGGTATAGACCTCATAAGGAGTCAGTCCTACGACACTGGTTTCAGAAGTGTAATCTCCAGAACGGAGATCACACACTTCTGTTGTGTAAGCCAGTCTGTGATTCATGACTTTGTTATCACAGCCCTAGGAAATTAACATGCCACACAGTAGACTAGTCCTCAGCAATTGAAAAGAACAAACTACTGACCTAATATTACTACATGCAAAGTCCAAGAAGCAAGACACAAAAGGCTCTATACTGTATTTCATTTAGATGTCATTTAGGAAAAGGCAAAACTATTGGGACAGAAAGATCAGTGGTTGTCAGGGGCCAGGAGTGGGAGGAGATTGATTATAAGTAATATGAGGGAAATTTCTGGGATGATAGAAATATTTTATATTTTAGTAATCTGATGTCTAAACATTTATCAAAACCCATTGAAGTATATGCACAGAGTGAATTTTACTGTATCTCAATAAACAGGATTTAAAATGTCCATGTAGAAGAAAATGTTAGCTGTCATAAAAGTAAACAAAAACAAAATCTAAAAACAGAGAAAATATTGTGAAGAGAATATGAAATAGAGAGATCAAAGCATCTAAAAATAAAACTGCAGACTATAAAGCATTTATGAAAGTAGAAATGTAGGCAATCAATTAAATGACAACAGCTTTAGCAGTTAATGTGAATACAATCAAATGCAACCATTTTTCACCCATCAGATGACAAACATGGAAAAAGAATATAACATTTAGAGCTGATCATGATACGGTCAACTGATACTTCCAAGACTCTCCTGGAAGTCATGGAAAATACTACAAACCACCTTGTGAAGGAGACCTCAGGAAAATCTTTAAAAATCCTTGCCAGGACCACATGTAATCTCAGCGGCTCGAGAGGCTGAGGCAGGAAGATTGCGAGTTCAAAGCCAGCCTCAGACACACAGTGAGGCACTAAGCAACTCAATGAGACCATGTCTCTAAAATAAAAATACAAAATAGGGATGAGGATGTGGCTCAGTGGTTGAATGCCACCAAGTTCAATTCCCGGTACCAAAAAAAAAAAAACTTTACCTGGCAATCCCACTTAGGGAATATAGCTTACAAAAATAAACAGTACTTGATGACATACCCACGAAGATAACTAATTATTGGTTAAAATACTTTGGAACAGTCAAAACCTGGAAATAACTTAGATGTTTGTTAATAAGGGAATGGTAACATAAATTATGGTACAACCCAAGATGGTTTTACATAACCATTAAAGAAATGAGTTAGACGTGTATGTATGGTTTAGAAAACACACATCGAGGGCTGGGCGTGGTAGTGCACGCCTGTAATCCTAGCAGCTTGGGAAGCTACAAAGCCAGCTTCAACAAATTAGCAAAAGACCCTGTCTCAAAATAAAAAATAAAAAAGGGCTGGGGATATAGATCAGTGGTTAAGCACCCCTGAGTTCAATCCCTGGTGCCAACAACAACAAAGAAAACATATTGATAAGGTTAAAAGTCCAAATTTTAGGAAAATATAGGTATTATCATCTCATTTTCCTATAGAAAACATTTATGTAAGCTTGTTTCATCACACAGAAAGGTTTGAAAAGATATTCAACATGCAGTTAACAAATGGGGTTGCACCTTCATGAGGTTGAGAGAAATGCATTTTACTCTTTCATTAAAAAAGTTATTGCTCATTTGATTTTTTTTTTTTTTTTTTTGATACCAGGGATTGAAGCCAGGGATGCTTCCCCACTGAGCCACATGCCTACCTTTTTTGTATTTTATTTAGAGACCGGATCTCACCGAGTTGCTTAGTGCCTTGTTTTTGCTAAGGCAAGATCCTCCTCCCACAGCCTCCTGAGCTGCTGAGACTACAGGTGTGCACCACCATGCCTCTCATTTGACTTTTTAATAAGCATGTATTCTTTTGTAATTTTTTTCTTAAATTCAATTATGTAAGAGTATTTCTGAAGACAATGAAAATACAAAAGTACATTATGCTGACCATGCTTCTGAAGTTTCTGGCACAGTCCTGCCTTTGAATAACATATTGTCAGATCATGAGTCAAACAACTGACATGTTGTTATGGTCCAAAACATTACCATTAAGTACAAGATAGAGTCCCAACTGTTAAGAAAACCACAGTTAGCTTGAGTTAATGCAAAACAAATAACATTCTAAAGTGATACTTAAGTTGAACTAGATGGTATCTACAATCTTTCCCAACTAAGAGATTTTTTTATTACCTTTTAATATCAAATAGTTGAAAATTGAACACATAAAATGTATAAAATAGTGACAACAGCCAGGTGCAGTGGCACACAACTGTAATCCCAGTGACCTGGGAGACTAGGGAGGAGGATCAGAAGTTCCAGGCCAGCCTTTGCAACTTAGTAAGACCCTGACGCATAATAAAATTAAAACAGAGATCTGGGCATGCTTGTCGACAGACAGGATTAATATTGTTAAAATGGCAATGTTATCAAAAGCAATAAAGAGATTCAACACAATCCACATAAAAGTACCAATGATATTCTTCACAGAACAAATAAAACAGTCTTAAAATTAATTTGGAAGAATAAGAGACCCAGAATAGCCAAAGCAATTCTAAGCCACAAGCAAGACAGAAGGCATAACGATATCTGACTTCAAATTACACCACAGAGCAATAGTAAAAAAAAAAAAACTGGTATAAAACCAGACTGACAGATCAATGGTACAGAGTAGAAAAGACAGAGACGAATCCACATATCTACAGTCACCTTATCCTTGACAAAGGTACCAAAAACATAACTGGAGAAAAGACATCCTGTTTAACAAATGGTGCTGGGGAAAGTTGGTTATCCATATGTAAAAGAATGAAACTAGATTCCTATCTTTCACCCTGAACAAAAATCAACTCAAAAATGGATCAAAAATCTTGGAATCAGACCA